GTTGGGGCCCCTCCAAGGCATGGGCGGAGCAGGTAAGTGTGTACAACCCCGCGCTTCGAAGGTAGGCCCTGGCGTGTCAGGGATCATGTGCATGCATGTGGGGGCATTTAGCTGCATCGTACTAGGCATGTTGCATGGGCATTGAGCATTCATTGGAGGGCCTACCGGTGGCGGGCTCGCACCTGCTTTTCCTGCTGATCCTTTCTTCCCCCCGTGCTTGCTCCTTCTCCCTCCCCCCGCAGTTCTGGGGGGCCGGCACAAGGATCGGCGACGGCCAGCGGCGTGTGGAGCCAGCCGCCGCTGCCGTACCGCTGCTATTCGCCAGTACGGCCCCCACACGCATCCATTTCGCCTAGCGAATAAAGGTGAGTTTCACACGGCTACAACGTCTCACACGCGTGCCTGCCCTGTTGGTTGTTCTGCACCCACAACTACCTCCAACTATCTCCAATAGTTTTGCCCAAGCAGCCGGCCTAGTGGGCATGCCGCATGCATCGCCTGGCCACCGGTGCATGTGGCGTGTCTATTAGGCCGGCTGCGTGGGGACGGCGTGTTGCTCTGAGGGCCCGTTGCATGGGGCTGGAGTGTCTCCGGCTAGCTCGCTGCCTGCTTCTAAATGTGCATTGCCTTTGTGTCCCATCCGTTCTCTCGTCGCCACCAACCCATTCCCTTCCCCCCCCCCCCCTCCTTGCCCCCCCCCCCTCGATCTCCGCATGAGCCTCCAATCCTGGCTCCTGCGCTTCGTCCGAGTATATCCTCGGCATCAGACCCTTGCGGCGAACGCCAGCAGTACCAGAGTCACAACGAACGGTACGGCCTGCTGCTTACAGTTGCCCTTGACGCCGCTGTAGAATAACTCGATATAGTCCCCTTTCCTCTCAAGTTGGTGCTGATCCAAATCATTCATTTGCTTTCTGTGCAGGCGCGACGCAAGATGTGCGACGGCGAGCATGTCCCAAGGGTAAAACACTCCGCGTACCGGTAAGTTGGGATTGGCTGCGTAGATGTGCAAAGATCCTTTCTTCCCCCCTTCCTTGCTCCTTCTCCCCCCCTCCGCAGTTCTGGGGGGCTGGCACAAGGATTGGCGACGGCCTCCGACACAGGAGCAGGGCGCCAGAGGCGCGCGGACATCGTTGGGGCCCCTCCAAGGCATGGGCGGAGCAGGTAAGTGTGTACAACCCCGCGCTTCGAAGGTAGGCCCTGGCGTGTCAGGGATCATGTGCATGCATGTGGGGGCATTTAGCTGCATCGTACTAGGCATGTTGCATGGGCATTGAGCATTCATTGGAGGGCCTACCGGTGGCGGGCTCGCACCTGCTTTTCCTGCTGATCCTTTCTTTCCCCCTTCCTTGCTCCTTCTCCCTCCCCCCGCAGTTCTGGGGGGCCGGCACAAGGATCGGCGACGGCCAGCGGCGTGTGGAGCCAGCCGCCGCTGCCGTACCGCTGCTATTCGCCAGTACGGCCCCCACACGCATCCATTTCGCCTAGCGAATAAAGGTGAGTTTCACACGGCTACAACGTCTCACACGCGTGCCTGCCCTGTTGGTTGTTCTGCACCCACAACTACCTCCAACTATCTCCAATAGTTTTGCCCAAGCAGCCGGCCTAGTGGGCATGCCGCATGCATCGCCTGGCCACCGGTGCATGTGGCGTGTCTATTAGGCCGGCTGCGTGGGGACGGCATGTTGCTCTGAGGGCCCGTTGCATGGGGCTGGAGTGTCTCCGGCTAGCTCGCTGCCTGCTTCTAAATGTGCATTGCCTTTGTGTCCCATCCGTTCTCTCGTCGCCACCAACCCATTCCCTTCCCCCCCCCCCCTCCTTGCCCCCCCCCCTCGATCTCCGCATGAGCCTCCAATCCTGGCTCCTGCGCTTCGTCCGAGTATATCCTCGGCATCAGACCCTTGCGGCGAACGCCAGCAGTACCAGAGTCACAACGAACGGTACGGCCTGCTGCTTACAGTTGCCCTTGACGCCGCTGTAGAATAACTCGATATAGTCCCCTTTCCTCTCAAGTTGGTGCTGATCCAAATCATTCATTTGCTTTCTGTGCAGGCGCGACGCAAGATGTGCGACGGCGAGCATGTCCCAAGGGTAAAACACTCCGCGTACCGGTAAGTTGGGATTGGCTGCGTAGATGTGCAAAGATCCTTTCTTCCCCCCTTCCTTGCTCCTTCTCCCCCCCTCCGCAGTTCTGCGGGGCCGGCACAAGGATCGGCGACGGCCTCTGACACAGGAGCAGGGCGCCAGCGGCGCACGGACATCGTTGGGGCCCCTCCAAGGCATGGCGGAGCAGGTAAGTGTGTACAACCCCGCGCTTCGAAGGTAGGTCCTGGCGTGTCAGGGATCATGTGCATGCATGTGGGGGCATTTAGCTGCATCGTACTAGGCATGTTGCATGGGCATTGAGCATTCATTGGAGGGCCTACCGGTGGCGGGCTCGCACCTGCTTTTCCTGCTGATCCTTTCTTCCCCCCGTGCTTGCTCCTTCTCCCTCCCCCCGCAGTTCTGGGGGGCCGGCACAAGGATCGGCGACGGCCAGCGGCGTGTGGAGCCAGCCGCCGCTGCCGTACCGCTGCTATTCGCCAGTACGGCCCCCACACGCATCCATTTCGCCTAGCGAATAAAGGTGAGTTTCACACGGCTACAACGTCTCACACGCGTGCCTGCCCTGTTGGTTGTTCTGCACCCACAACTACCTCCAACTATCTCCAATAGTTTTGCCCAAGCAGCCGGCCTAGTGGGCATGCCGCATGCATCGCCTGGCCACCGGTGCATGTGGCGTGTCTATTAGGCCGGCTGCGTGGGGACGGCATGTTGCTCTGAGGGCCCGTTGCATGGGGCTGGAGTGTCTCCGGCTAGCTCGCTGCCTGCTTCTAAATGTGCATTGCCTTTGTGTCCCATCCGTTCTCTCGTCGCCACCAACCCATTCCCTTCCCCCCCCCCCCTCCTTGCCCCCCCCCCTCGATCTCCGCATGAGCCTCCAATCCTGGCTCCTGCGCTTCGTCCGAGTATATCCTCGGCATCAGACCCTTGCGGCGAACGCCAGCAGTACCAGAGTCACAACGAACGGTACGGCCTGCTGCTTACAGTTGCCCTTGACGCCGCTGTAGAATAACTCGATATAGTCCCCTTTCCTCTCAAGTTGGTGCTGATCCAAATCATTCATTTGCTTTCTGTGCAGGCGCGACGCAAGATGTGCGACGGCGAGCATGTCCCAAGGGTAAAACACTCCGCGTACCGGTAAGTTGGGATTGGCTGCGTAGATGTGCAAAGATCCTTTCTTCCCCCCTTCCTTGCTCCTTCTCCCCCCCTCCGCAGTTCTGCGGGGCCGGCACAAGGATCGGCGACGGCCTCTGACACAGGAGCAGGGCGCCAGCGGCGCACGGACATCGTTGGGGCCCCTCCAAGGCATGGCGGAGCAGGTAAGTGTGTACAACCCCGCGCTTCGAAGGTAGGTCCTGGCGTGTCAGGGATCATGTGCATGCATGTGGGGGCATTTAGCTGCATCGTACTAGGCATGTTGCATGGGCATTGAGCATTCATTGGAGGGCCTACCGGTGGCGGGCTCGCACCTGCTTTTCCTGCTGATCCTTTCTTCCCCCCGTGCTTGCTCCTTCTCCCTCCCCCCGCAGTTCTGCGGGGCCGGCACAAGGATCGGCGACGGCCAGCGGCGTGCGGAGCCAGCCGCCGCTGCCGTACCGCTGCTATTCGCCAGTACGGCCCCCACACGCATCCATTTCGCCTAGCGAATAAAGGTGAGTTTCACACGGCTACAACGTCTCACACGCGTGCCTGCCCTGTTGGTTGTTCTGCACCCACAACTACCTCCAACTATCTCCAATAGTTTTGCCCAAGCAGCCGGCCTAGTGGGCATGCCGCATGCATCGCCTGGCCACCGGTGCATGTGGCGTGTCTATTAGGCCGGCTGCGTGGGGACGGCATGTTGCTCTGAGGGCCCGTTGCATGGGGCTGGAGTGTCTCCGGCTAGCTCGCTGCCTGCTTCTAAATGTGCATTGCCTTTGTGTCCCATCCGTTCTCTCGTCGCCACCAACCCATTCCCTTCCCCCCCCCCCTCCTTGCCCCCCCCCCCTCGATCTCCGCATGAGCCTCCAATCCTGGCTCCTGCGCTTCGTCCGAGTATATCCTCGGCATCAGACCCTTGCGGCGAACGCCAGCAGTACCAGAGTCACAACGAACGGTACGGCCTGCTGCTTACAGTTGCCCTTGACGCCGCTGTAGAATAACTCGATATAGTCCCCTTTCCTCTCAAGTTGGTGCTGATCCAAATCATTCATTTGCTTTCTGTGCAGGCGCGACGCAAGATGTGCGACGGCGAGCATGTCCCAAGGGTAAAACACTCCGCGTACCGGTAAGTTGGGATTGGCTGCGTAGATGTGCAAAGATCCTTTCTTCCCCCCTTCCTTGCTCCTTCTCCCCCCCTCCGCAGTTCTGCGGGGCCGGCACAAGGATCGGCGACGGCCTCTGACACAGGAGCAGGGCGCCAGCGGCGCACGGACATCGTTGGGGCCCCTCCAAGGCATGGCGGAGCAGGTAAGTGTGTACAACCCCGCGCTTCGAAGGTAGGTCCTGGCGTGTCAGGGATCATGTGCATGCATGTGGGGGCATTTAGCTGCATCGTACTAGGCATGTTGCATGGGCATTGAGCATTCATTGGAGGGCCTACCGGTGGCGGGCTCGCACCTGCTTTTCCTGCTGATCCTTTCTTCCCCCCTTCCTTGCTCCTTCTCCCCCCCTCCGCAGTTCTGCGGGGCCGGCACAAGGATCGGCCTCATGCTGTATAGGGGATTTCCTTAATAGCACCTAGAAAATCTTAACGCCATGTAAACGCCATTGATGTTAAACCGTTGTATCAGTAACATGGTCATGTACTCCATGACTGGGCATGCCATAGCCTTGCAGATAGCTTGTAACCCGCACGGTTAGCAAGAGGTACCCAAGCGAACAGTTGCGAACGGAAGCAGGGAGATCGTCGGATGAACTTACAGCTGAAGTAGTGTGCCTGATCCCTTGCTTGGAGACCTTGCGCCGATTAGGATGACAAAGCAAGTCATAGACACTACTCAAGCATCCCAGAGCATAGTACACCACAAACATCACATGCCCTCACACACCCTGCCAGGTTGTCCTAAGAATGACACAAATCGTGTTGACGACAGCACCCGTGCTCCGCCAGCATTCTGTAGCGCAGCATTCTCCGCTTGCAAAGCACGGCAGCGTGTGGACCCTGTGCAGTGACTCCTTCTCCCCGCGGCACAAGGCACCCACCCTCACATAAAGCGGCTGCCGTTGGTTGAGTGCACTTCGAGCTGTTATGGCGCACACGAGCAACGCACAGCGCGCTTCCTCTGGCATTGCCCCCTGCGGCAGCAATAGCACCTGCCGTACAGCCTGCATCCGCTACCTGCTAACCCTGCGCCCGCGGCAACCACCTCTGCCAGAGCAACGCCTGCACCACTGCACCACCCAATCCAGCAGCGCATCAACACCACCTGCGGCAGCCACCTCTTGACTAACATGGCCTTAGCCTGCATGCCCCTCTAGCAGCACCACAGCGGTGCTGCTCAACACGACCCCCAGCTGCCGATCCTTGTCTGCCTGCCATCCGTCTGCCACTAGCCGCGCCCGGAGGCTCTCCAAAATGTGGGCTTCCATCATGGCGCTTAACGCAGCTGAGGCCACATGGATAGCAGGGGCTGCTTGTCTCAAATGCAGCGCCGCTGTCTAGAGCTCGGCCTGGTGCGGCGGGACACCGACGAACAAGGGGCAACGAGCAGCATGACTGACGAATTGCTATTAAATGAGTTACTCGGATATGGCACATGAGTCCATAGGTCGGGCATCACCCTTTCACAGCCTGTTGAGGTCACACACGCCTAAACACCCGCACACTTACACGGCCACCCAAGCCCAAGGACTGACTCCGCCACAACCATGATAAGCAACAGCAAACGCCTGTCCATGGGGAGGACCGCAAGCGCTCCAGTTTGCAAGGCCCCACGTGCATCTACCTATACGCCCGGGTCCTCACCAACACGCCCCTCCGCGCCCTTACCCGCAAGGCCTGGATGAAGACGTTGAGCGCGAAGAAGCTCACGAGGGTCATCCCCGCCGGCCACACCTTGGGTCCGGGCCAGTCCGAATCATCTTGCTCTGGAGGGAACGGGACGGGAGCGGGCGGGGGACAGCGGGCACATGGGATGCATTTTGAGCAGGAATTTCCGACAGGTCATGTTCGCATGAAGGGAGGAGTCAAGGCAAACAGGCTGCTATATCGGGAAGGCCGACAATGCAATTGGAAGTTCACGCAACAGCATCGCCAGCCCTCTGCTCGCAACCCAGCCTCGCCCATGCACGCCCCCTGGCCACGACCGCCGCTACCCTCGTCCCTGTCCTCATCCCCACTGCTGCAGCTGCTGCTTCACTCACTGGTCTCCGTTGTTCGTTTTGCGGCGTAGAGGAACATCGCCAGCGAGGCCAGCAGCCCCAGCAGGAAGGCCGGTGTGGCGAGCTGCTCGTTGTGGAGGGACACCAGCCCGCACGCCTGGCAGCGGCAGCAGCAGGGGGGAAGGAGGAGGGGGAGGCAGGGAGAGCAGGGAGGAGGATCAAAGGTAGACCTAACCTTAGGAACATGGGGCAAAGCAATGAAAAGAGAACTGAGGGAGATGCAGATGCTGTAGCATGAAGGCAAGTCGAGGCAGAGCGGCAGGTGTGAGCTGGGCTAAGCAGAGGCACTCCCGTGCAACGCGCCTGGCCCCTTCCCTTGATCGCCCATGTCCGCATCTGCTGCCGCATTTTTTTAGCAGCTGCCAGCACGCCAGCACCAACACGACGTACGGAACCAGTCAGCAGGACACCCCCCCCCTGACCCCCCCGCACTCACCAGGCCAGTTGCCGCCACTCCGCCCGCTATCGGCAGCACTGCGGGCCTGTGTTGGGAGTACGGCAGCTTTCAAGAAACAATTGCAAGTAACAAACGCACATTTTGGTATGGTATCGAGGCATGCTCCTCAGCGTGTAGCAACAGGGAGGGGTTTTCATGGGTTTAGCACCCGGTGTGAATTTGGCTTGGCTACGCAAGGAGAGGAGCCATGTCCTTTCCTGCGCTGTCTGTTGCCGCTCAGTTACAGCTGGCAAGCCGCTGTGACCATGGTGAGTAGCAATATGTGCACTGGGGAGGCCCCCACCGCTGGCTCCCTCAGACACTACTGTCACACCGACACACACCTGCCGGGGGTGCCTTCGGGTAGTTGTGACCTGCACAGGACGTTGAGTTTCGGTTAGAGCCGGTCGAGACAGCACGTCACTGCACCGGCAAGCATAGCGCATGCAGTGTATGGAGGCAAGGGCCGGCACGATGAGAGTTGGACAAGGGAAATGCTTGCGTAGGTGGCATACCGTGTAACCAAAGAAATAGACGTTGCAGTGAAATGGGCTACTCCCGGGCAGCGTATGAATCTCAGGGACCCCATCATGTCTCACCGAGTGTATGCGGCTTCCGCGCCCAGCACCACAGCTGCGCAATAGTACCCCAAGGCAACATTAACACAATCTATCGATACGGCGGCCTTCATTAACACGAGGGAAAGCATCGGATGTCGTTGCGTACCGTATGCTATGCCTTGCTGCAGCACGGCGTAGCTTGTAGATGCATCGACGTATGCCTTCGTGCAAGCAAATGGTGGACACCCGCAATTGCCGTCAAACGTCAAGACTGACATCCTAGATATTTGTAACTTAATCTTTAGCGTTTTAAAGGTGAGCAACGCCCAACCAAGAACCAGACCTGGGTGCGCACAAGTGGACGTGGGTTGACAGGACGTTGTGCCGAAGTAAATGCATGGCGACCAGTGCGTAGAGACGGGCTGAGCTGGCTAAGCATCGTTGCCGCGAAGGACTAAGCAGTCGATTATCAGGACTTGCGTGGCGATCAAGTAATTGTAATCCGTAAGACCTACTGTGGTGCGAAAGTATTATATGCTGGCACCATTTACACAACAATGTGCAATAACGAAATCACTTCTAACCCTATGTCGCCAATGTCGCCCTGATCTGCGTCGTACAACCGCTCCAGTAGGCTAGCGGCTGCCTAGCGTGTACCGCTAGCGAGTGGGTCTCTTGTACGGCTTTCAGGAACTCCGGTCCCCCTTGTAACCTTCGTATTCCAGCGAAAGACAGAGGCAACCTTTGCGAAGAAAATGCAGAACACACTTTCCAATCAGAATGAGCGGAGTGTGGGGACAAATTTCATAAGTGAAGCAACGAGTCCCAATCCGAGGAGTATGGGGAGGGAAAGAGGCTGGAGGACATGGGGAGAGGCAGCTGTGAAGGGAAGCGGAAATTGGCAGGGGGGAACGGGGAACTTCGGGGGCTTGGAAGGAGCTATGCCACTACTGTTGTTGCAGAGGGGGATGCACGTTTAGTCCCGGGGAGTGGTAGGGCAGTAACCAGGAGGACACACCAGCGCCAACACCTAATCTCAAGAAACGTATGCTTCATCTACAAAGGCAACCCCTGATGAGCTTAATAACGCTGCCAGCTGTGTCCCTTGGTTCCATATCGCGGTGCCGTACACCCAAAGGCACCTGAGTCATGACTGCAAAGGTGTTTCGATAATTGATGTAACATTTCCTGCAATTTATTGAGTGGATCACTACCGCTGATGTAACTACCGTCCACTCCCGACCTTCAGCTAACCGCAAAATTTAAGCCTACGTTGAACTCTGGTAATGGCTCCATGGCGCCCACTGCGTTTAGGTTCATTAGTCCTTCAGGGTCCTACTTATTTGATGCGTCGCATTGTCGCGCTGCCTTGTCGCGTCCACCCGACTACTCCATCCCACGGAACTTTATTTTCTAGCACCGCGGTTATCGCAACATCGACCAGCCGGACGTCGCGTCGTAAATCACGCGCAACAACAAAGGAAGCAGCGCTGGGGAGGCCCGGCGGTTCTGGGAGCCAAGGAGCCTGGGCCAATGATGCGCCAAGCACATCGACAACAGCCGCAAGCTCAACGCAAGACGCCCCAGTAAAGCGAACCCGCCGTGCGAAGGGTTCTGTTGCGGCCACGAAGAGCTGTACTTCCGACCTAAACAGCAGTAGCAGCTGTACGGCAGATGCAAAGGCAGTGCCAGGGATATCGGTTGCGTCCTCAGCTGCTGCATCGCCACCAGCCGTTCGCAGCGCGGCAACCGCCGCCTCGGCTAAGCCCTCCGTGCAGCCGCCCACCTTCTCTTCCTCCCAACGGTCAGGGTTGCTGTTGGTGGTTGACGGCAACTACCTGGCCAACCGCGCCTACTACGGGTACGGCAACCAGGGGCTAACTACAAGCAGCGGTGTCCCCACCTCCATCACCTACAGTGTCGTACGGGTGAGAAGGCGGGTGCGGGGTTGTTGGGGGTGGAGGCAGAGGTGGAGGTGGGGTGGAGAGTGTAGTGGGGTGGCTGCTGTCAGCACAATCGGCCAGTAGTGCATCTTGAACATGGGTTGGGCCGTCATGTAGGTTGAGAATTGGGGTTCTCGGTTGGTGTGTGTTGAGGCGATGTACGGCTGGTTGGCTCCGCCTTACAATATCTGCTGTAAGGCATAACGGCAGCTAGAGCAAGAAGACGGGGCTTTTTGAGCCTAGACCTGGGAACATGGGAGGGAAGCTGTGCGGCTGTGTGAGCTGCGTAAGCGCTGTCCAGCCGCTAGGCGTTCTCGCACCCGTTGCCCTCCACCTCCTCCCATCCTCACCACCTCTCATTCCTTCTTCCTCTCTATCCCCCTCTTCCCCTCTCCTCCTCCTCCCCCCCGCCACCTCAGACCCTGCACGCCGCCCTGCGCACGCTGCGCCCCACCGCGCTGGCGGTGGTGTTCGACCCGCGCGGCCCCACCTTCCGCGGCGCCATGTCGCTGCTGGACCCCTCGGCGGCGGGCGGGCAGCTGGGGCGGGCGGCGGCGCGGCTGGTGCAGCAGGGCCGACTTGACTGGCAGGTGGGTACGGTCCTGCGGTGCGGTGAAGACAAGGAGGTGAAGTAGTGGATGTGGATGGGGATGTGGGAGGGAGGGCGGGGAGCGGGAGAGGTGGGATGTCTCAGGACAAGCAGGGCTCGTGCGCGGGTACTGCCGGTAGTGTGGGCGGGTGAGGTGAGAACAAGAGTGGAGGGTTCGAGGGTAGGAAGATTGAGGGAGCTTTGCCCTCTGCCACTGTTGTTTCGTCAACTCAACCTTCTCAGCATGCCCTCCCTCCCGCTCCCCTCCCGCTCCCCTCCTCCTCAACTCGCAGGATCTCGCCAGCCGGCTGCTGCTCTACACCTCCATTCGCGCCGACCTGCAGGCCGCAGCAGCCGTGGAGGCTGCTGCCACACCCGCCTCCTTCCTGCTGCCCGGCGGCACCTTCCTGCCGCCGCCGCCGCCGGACTTCATCCCCTACACACCCGCCGCCGCCGCCGCCGCTGCCGCCGCCGGCGAGGAGCTACCTCTAGGAGCGGATGCGGCGCCGCCGTCGCTGTCTCGCGGCCGGGCGGCGGTGTCGGCGGCGCTGCAGGTGCTGGCGGCGGCGCTGGGACCTGAGCTGGCGTCGGAGCTGGGCCTGACGGAGGTGGCGGCGGCGGAGGAGGAGGAGGGGGCTGCTGCTGTGCTGCTGGAGCCGTCCTACAAGGCGGGTCGGGCGCAGCACACGGAGCGGTTCTACACGGACTTCCATAACATGCAGGTTGGGCGGAAAGGAAAACACCTATTGCGTTGAATGAGGCTGGTGCTGAGAGGGGACGGAAGGGGGAAAAAATAAAACAAGTGAAACAACGAGTCCCAATCCCATATCCCGACTCATGCAGTGAGCGCATTCGGAGACACTAGGGGGGAAGGGAGGGAAGGGACGGGGGCGGCGAGTGCACTCCAGCTGGGGGTTTAGGTTGCCTGATGCCCGATGGCATCATGGCGGGGACTATGTGTTGTTTGCATGCAGGGGCTGTGCTGCTCTAACCCCGGGTGGCGCCACCTGCTATCGCGCCTGGGGGAGCAACCCGTGCTGGCGTAGTTTCCCGTCTTGTGCTTGGTCGCTGCGTTCCCTTTTAGCCCGCCTGCCGCTGCTTCTCCCCCGCTCCCCCGCCTGCCCCCCTCCCCCTCCCCCTCCCTCCCTCCCCTGCTCAGCGGCTGCTGGGGCTTATGTCTGTGAAGCCGCTGGTACGGCCCTGGCTTGAGGTGGGTGCGGGGTGCGGGGGTGTGTGAGGGGTTGTTGTGGGATTGTGGAGTGCGGAACTGGGGGGTAGTACTAGCCAGGGAGCGAGTGGAGGGTGGAGAAAGGCATGGCGGGCCTGTGGTGACGGGGCCCTACCTCCACGCCGGCTGCTTAGGGTGCTATTTGAGTGCTCCCATGGGACTCCCATGATGGGAGGCAGCAGGGGTGGTGGCTGCAGCCGTCCTACCCACCTATCCAACCTTTCCCCCAACCGCCCACTCCCCGGCGCTCCCATCCTAATCCCTCACCCCTCACCCCTCACTCCTCACCCCAGGGCGACGACCTAGCCGGTCTGCTCGTCCAAGAAGCCGTACGACAGGGCATGTCCGTACGCCTCATCAGCGGCGACCGCGACCTCATGCAGCTCGTCAGTGACGAGTACGACGTGTCGCTGCTGTACCCCGCGAAGGCGCCCAAGAAGGGGGCGGCAGCAGCAGCAGCAGCAGCGGGCGGCGGCAGGGTGCGACCGAGCAGTGAATTCCCCTTCAGCGAGCTGCGGGAGGCGGATGTGGTGGCGGCGCTGGGGGTGGGCCCGGAGCGGGTGGCGGAGTGCAAGGCGCTCATGGGGGATGACTCGGACCGATTGCCGGTGAGGGTGAGGGGGAGGGAGGCATGTCAGGAGGGCGGGGCGAGGGAGAGGGAGGGGTAGAGGTATGGGGGGCATGGGGTGAGGTATGGAGGTGGTTGAAGGTTGCAGATTGCCTTTGAGGGTACGACACTGCTGCCTGCGCGGAAAAGGTTAATAGGGGCATGCCACGTTGCTCATTGCCGCCTGAGAACCCCTGGTCTCCTTCTCGCCGTGTGCCTCCTCAACCCACCAGCAAACTGCATTGACTGACCTGCTCTTTCTGTGTATTGTTCCCGGGGTTGGCAGGGAGTCAAGGGTATCGGCCCCAAGACTGCCGTACAGCTGCTGGAGGCGTACGGCAGCCTGTCAGGGGTGTACGGCGCGGTGGGGCAGCTGCCTGCCAAGCGCCGGGCGCTGCTGCAGGTGCGGGTGCGGGTGCGGGTGTGTGCGTGAAGCGCCTGGGGACTGCCGGTAATGGAGGGAGTGGGGTCGGCCGTGCGCGAGGGCTCCGGGTGACGTGTGTAGGTGTGTTGCAGTAACTGACTTGCCGTGTGTGTGTTGGCACGAGGTGGGCGCAAATGAAGTCGTACAAGAGCTGTAGTGGTGTCTTGCGGCGTTATGTTGGCTGCGGTTTAGTGTTTGATGGCTGCCGTACATTCCTCCGGTAGCCTTACACCGAGCTCCTGCGGAGCGGCCTGGCGCACCATGTGCGCGCACAACTCCTCCGCGCCCACGTCCCGGCCACTACGCTCGCTGCATCCGCCCTCCCGCGCCGCAAGCCTAGCTACTCCCTCACCCACTGTCCCTCCCCATTCCTCCCAGCCTGCCGGTAATGCAGGATATGTATCCCACTTAATCCCGCCCATTCCGACCCCCCGGCAGGAGTCCCAGGCGGCAGCGCAGTACTCGCTGGCCATGGCGCGAGTGCTGGGCACGGAAGGTGCGCGCCGGGTTTGGGGTGGCGTGCGGTGGGTGGTGGGAGGTGGTGTGGGTTGGGGTGCTGTCGCGGCGGGGCATGTGGGGCCAGGTGCCAGGGGCTGCTGTGCCGGCATGGAGGCAAGGGCCGTTAAGAAGAGGACACGAGCCGCTGCCAGGCCGGCCCTGGCTGTCAGCAACGCAGTCCGCGCAGTGTCCCTTGCTTACCCCGCTTCCCTAGTTCAGTAGTTCTCTCCCAATATCACGGTCGCTGAACCTGGCTCCCTTGCTGCCGTCCCGCCCCTCCCCTGATGCAACCCGTCGTGGAGCCTTGTCACTCGTTTCTTCCTCTTTGGCCCTCCCCCCCCGCCCGCGCAGGCGCTCCCTCCGCTCCCCCAGACGTGCTACCGCCGGGGCTGCTGCAGCGGTTGCAGCTGCGCGGATTCGAACCGGGGCTTGTGGAGCCGGCGCTGCGGGAGCTGGGCATGAAGAGCCTGACCCGTGGGTCGGGACGTGGGGGCGACCTGTGGAGGGACTTTGGAGGAGTGCTGTAGACAGGGCGGGGGGTGATGATGGGGAAGGGAGGAGGGTTCTCACATGTTGCCAGGGCTAGTTTATAGCTATGTATTTATGCCGACAGAAGGGCCAGTCTGTTTAGCGGGAGTTGTGGTGGGGCCAATGGCGCTATGGCGGAATGAGCGGACGGGAGACTAACACCGCGTTTACCTAAGAGCGGAAGGTAACAGACGCAGAGGGGGTGCGTTGGCGACATGGCTGTTCATATATAGAGCCAGGGTTGAAGCCAGTAAAGGCGTCTCATCACGGCTGCCATGTAATTGCAGAGTGATGGTTTAGCTTCTGCTATCTTTGACTCGTTAAATCCATTCCCCAATGCGATACGCAACAATACGCGGCGCAACAACACCCATCGCCAGTCGCCCCTCTTCAGCTGTGACTGCTCACCGCCCCAACTACGGCCAGCCACACCTCCACGCAAGCCATGTCCACTCGGCTCCCGCCTTACCCAAAGCCTACCGCACGTGCACAACCCCTTTCACGAGACACCGTGCGTATTACCGGTACTGTGATAATCGCAAAAGACAAGAGTCAGGAGCAATGCCATCAAAGCCAACGTATGGCAGATGCAAACACCAAGGCAACGCGTGTGTCCGACAACGGTTGCGTGATGCGACACAAAACACCCAACCCCCGTGCGATGTGTTCGTCACGACAACCAGGCGGTCACACACCTGTGGGCACTTGTTCAGCGGCCCGGAATGGGAGTTGGCATGAGTCAAGGTGCAGCTGGCAAACTGGCCGGCTTGTATGCAAACCTAACACGATCCTGACCACAGCTGACCGCTATCGGCACAGTGAAACTTTTCATATAATAGGCTTCGATGGCAGTACGGTAGTTATAGTACAAGCGAAAGAGCAAAAAACGCACTGCCCCCCCCGGTTGCGTATGTCCCCATAGCATGCAGAAACAGCCAGTCGCTAGCTCGCGTGAGCATACCAATACACACACGCGCACATGGTACCGGTTCTCATCCCACCAATTAGTCGCTTCGAACGGAAGACGTATGGCAGTAACCCATGATCTAGCAGTTGCGCCTTAACGGCCCTGGCCGCTTTGCGGAAGTCCTCCTATGCACCCCTATCGGCAGTTGATCTCCTTCGAAGTCCTAACCCACTCGGGGCACTTGGGCCCAACAAACAGCCCAAACAGCATTCTGCACAACACAACAACCGAGCCGTTCCTGCCCAACTTCGCATAGACACGGCCATTATCGCTCTAACCACAACCAGAACCACTGCCAACACCATACACCAACCTTTCGCGGGCTACAGGTCCTCACTTGTTGCTTGCAGCCCCTCCCAACCAAGACGAATGACCAGAAGGACTCGGCTGCAGCCATGACAGCGGCGTGGGTGCGCCCGACGATGGCGTCTGCAGCGGCGTTCCGGCACTTGAAGACAGAGAGGGCGACGGCAGCAGCTGCAGCCCCGTCAGTCGACGGCTGAAAGTACGTGAATGCTCCCGGTCAACAAGGGCCGCGGGGTCTCCGCCGTTGTCGCCAAAGGATGAGAGCAGGCCTACATCCAGAGTGGGCCGGGAGCCGGCTCGCCAGGGCTCAGGGGCGGTGTGGTGATGGAATGACCCGAAGGAGGCACCCCCGAAAACGGACGGCTGCTGCGGCGGCTGCGGCTGTGGATGCGGCAGCTGCTGCGGTGGTGGTGACGTGCTGTTATAAGGATTGTCGGGGTCGCCAGGGAAGCTGCCGGGAGCTGAAGCAAGCATGGAGCCGGTTCGTAAGACGGGAGTGGCTGCTGCCATGACTCCTCCTCCGGCGCCACCTCCGCTGCCAGCACCACGACCAACAACAACAACACCGCTACCAGCAGCAGCAGCAATAACCGCAGGAGCACCGCCTCCGGACCCTGCGTTTTCCCGGGCACCGCCGCCCGAACCGGAACCCGTACTGTCGCAACTGAGTGCACCCGTGCTGCTGGCGTTCGCGGCGGCAATGGCGGCGACGGAGGTGGGCCAGGAGCTGCGAAGCAAGCGCTCCGCCCCATCGCCGTTGCCACTGCCGTGGCAGTCGCGTATGCCTGGTAGCGGGCTGCTGATGGCGGGGGTGCTGGCGGGTGGGGTGGCTGCAGGCGGCAGCTGCGTGGGGTAGCCCCGGCGGGACGGCCGACGGCTGGCAGGCGCACGCGGGTAGGCTTCAGACGCGCCGCCATGCCCCTGTGAGTCCGAGTGAACGAGGGAGGCGGTGGCGGCGGCTGCAACAACACCCGCGGGTGTGGCGGCGGCAGCGCCGGTCCAGTGGCCTCCCATGCCGCCGGCGGGCTCCTGGTTGCCGCCAGCTGGTGTGGTTGGCGGGGCTCCGCCGCCGCTGTTGCCTCCGCCGCGGCTTGTGAAGCTGCTGCTGCCGCCCCCGAGGCCGTTTGTGTGGCTGCTGCTGCCGCTTGTGAAGCTGCCGCCTGAGGCGTGCGGCAGGGGCGGCAGATAGTGCTGGTCGAGCTGGCGTTTGGAGGAGGAGGCGCTCGGAGGGGATTGCTGGGGGCGAGGGGGAAGGAGGGGGGGCATGAATGGGGGCTAAGAGGAAACAACTAGCTTACCGTGTCATAAGGCATCGTCATGAAAGGGGGCGGTGGGGGGTGTTCAGCAGGTCGAGATGGATGCCTTAAGACAGGTGGGCCTCCACCGGGCTAGCGCCGTACGGTAAATGGAGGCCGAAAGCACTGATAGGGTGAGCTACTTAAGGATTACGACTTGCAGACAAACACAACTTGTCCACCGCCTGTGTATGGCCCATGCACAGAACTGTGTGCTCTTCGTCCCAGCCAGGTTACAACGGTTACATGCTCCCTTAGCATGCTTTTTTTTGCAGCGGTAAGCAGCCTCACCTGCACAACATGCTCCTGAGGAGCGTGCACCCCTTGTTGCTGGTGCTGGTGCTGGTGCTGGTGCTGGTGCTGGTGCTGATGCTGATGCTGATGCTGATGCGACGGCTGGTGTTGCTGCTGCTGCTGCTCGACGCGGTTCTGCAGGAGCTGCTCCTGAAGGTGACTCTGATGACGGTGCTGGTGCTGCTGGTGAGGGTGAGGGTGAGGGCGCTGCTGCTGCTGCTCTTCCGCCTGGTGCAGCTGTTGCTGTTCCAGTTGGTGATGGCTGTTGCCCCGGATAATGGCAGTACTGTTGCCGCCGGGCTCCTGTGGGTGCTGCGGCAGCTGCGGCTGCTGCGGCTGCGACAGCGAGTGGCCCAAGATGTGGTGCTGCTGCTGCAGCATCTGCTGCAGCGCTGCAGGAATGGCGGCGCTGGTGCAGGAGGAGCGCCGGGAGCGGCTGCTGCCCTGCTGGGTGAAGGAGTTGGGGCGGCTGCCGGTCGCACCTGCCGCCATGCCGGACTGCGCCCAGCCGAGCAGGTCCGGGTGCGTGCGTTGGAGCAGCAGGGGCTGTCGGTGAGCCTGAGGGGGCAAGAGGGGCAACGGTGGCAGGTGAAAACGGATACCGGTACAGCTGGTAGGGACGGATGTAGGCGTGTGCATGCAGCTTGGTAGGACTTCCAGAAATTATTACAATTGCAGGCAACAGTGCGTAAGAAATCGCGTGGACACTGCCTGCCAGCCCCTCCCGTGTTAAGGTGGCAAAAGGTGGCAAACAGAGCATACGCCTGGCTCGTACCTCCGTTCCAGGAGAACCGGGCACTACTGCGCCGGTCGCAGGTGGTCCGGTCGCTGCTGCTGCCGCCGCGGCCAGGCCGCTGAACTCCATAGACTTGCGAGGGTGCGGTGGCGGGTGGTAGATCCCAAGGGAAGACCGGCGATTGTGCCCGGTTGCCACGGGCGGCGAGGATGCCACAATCGCCGGTGTAGCAGCAAGCGGTGACATTTCCAGGTTGACCACGGTAACTGCGTTGGTGGCACTGCAGAGCGGGTCGTCTTGCCAGGTGATGCCTCTTGCGGGTCCGGGTGAGGGAGCGCGACCAAAGAAGCTCTTCCGGTTTGGACGCCGATCTGGAGTCTGGACTCTAGCCGCGAATGGCGAGCTGGGGCGCGCTTGTGACCCGCCTAAGCGCAGCGCGCCGACTTTGGGCTCCGTAAAGGACCTCGATGTGGGGCTGCCGACTAGCTGGCTAGGGCGAACGTCGGCGACATGCGGTTGAGAGCTTTGCGAGCGCTTAGCGTGGTTTTCCTCCTTATCGCACCATGCTTGGCAAGGGTTACTGCGGCCTCTTGGCGCCGTCCGATTTGCATCGAGAGACAAGTACAGTTCTTCAACAAACTTGGTTGAACGTGCATATTCATTCTCCAATTCCGACAATACAGTGCTGACTTCTACGGTTGGATCCATTATCACTCCTTCCGTCACGTCGCAGTGGTGTGGAAGTCGGGTAGGGACAGATAGAAAGAGTTTCCAACGGCCACGCGGACGGTATATTTAGGGGTCACATAAGTAATCTGTCTTCGCACTACCCCGAGATAAAAGCCAATTCTCTTGCCGCCCGACATAACAGGCGCGGTTACTCAGGAGGTAGAGCGGTAAGTCATGGTCGCTGTGTCAAGTCGTTATTAGTCAAAGACAATATTATCGTTTCTAAATGTTGCTTTGGATTAGGAACATCACCGTAGTAACAGGTGTGGTGTGAGGTCCAGCTCCGTACACTAGCCAGGACAGGGACCGACACACACTGATGACGCGATGTATGTGACGAGTAGAGCAGCATCTACCCACAAGATATCTTTTTACAGCTGAGAGTGCTTCACGGGGCGCGGCGAGGGCAAGCGTTTCGTCCTCAAGCAAGGAATTGCGACGGGTCATGTCGGCCTGGAAGGGTAAGGGCATCCGTGCGGTCTTCGGTTTAGGACTCCTAATATCTATTGAAGCGACGCATCATAACGTTGACAATACATGTTTTCGCAAAACCCAGGTTTCACTACATGTATGGATGCCTCGGACATAAATGCAACAACGGTAAGTAGTCGCGAATGAGCTCAATGCATTTGGCAGTCTAAGAGCTTTCTTAGTTCACAGGACACCCACAGTCAGTACATAGAACCCTAGTGTCCCTAGATAGCTATGAGCGTGTGGAATTACCCTAGGATTGGAAAACACCCACCGGGTTCGGATAATTGCAACCCTGGTAAATGCTTACATGCAACTCCTCGTAACCCAAGAGCGCCAGTACAGCGAGGAGCGGATCGCCGTTGCATAACCTTATTGCAGTCGGCACTACTTGGTGAGTGTAGGAAAGTGTTACTTTTCCCTCCCTAACGCCCACGGTCTGACGTTCAGGACCTCAACATCTACACAGGCACACGCAACACGCTCGGCAAATTTGCATTTACCAACAAGTTATTGACGTAAAGCACATTAATCCTGCCACAAAATGTTTTGTTATACAGCACGTTGCGTCAAGCCTGCACACCCTCACAATCAGTCATTTGTGACATGGGAAAGTACCGCCCATTCGTCCATTTTGCAAGGCGAGGACATGCGTGCGTCGATATTCAAACCCGTGTAGCGCACTTCGCCGCCTTACACCCGTCGAATATGCCCGTACAATAGTATTCCCACACAGTGGCATAGACCAGCACAGGTGCCTGACCACACGGGTGTTACTTGGAACCGAACGTCTTCCGCCCCGCGGTGTTGAACTGCCGCTCATTACCCGCCCTGGCGGCCAGCAGCTTGCGCTGCGCGGGCGAGATGACCGCCAGCCGCGGCGCCCAGCTGCCTAGCTGCTGCCAGTTCTGGCGGGTTCAGGAAGCGGGGTTGCAGCTTGTGGGTGAATGAGAGGGTATGCTCAATGCCGTGTTGCAGGCAGGCTGGTGAGGCGAAGAAACCGCCGAGTTATCCCGCTTGGACAGCACTCACGAGAAAGTGCAGCACCCCGAGAAAGCCTGGGAGGGCCTTGGTCGCTAGGCCAGCCCAGTTGGGTTCTATTCTCCAAATCCGGATATCAATTGTTGCATTCCGGCGTAGCTTGGATAACGTGGCTTGGGATTGTACCTCCCGTAACATAACGGAACGCAAAGGTGCAGCATCCCGTGCATCACAAGTCAGGCTAAACCCCTCCTAGAACCCTTCAGCATCGCACCCCCTAGAGGGCTACACATAGAGGGCTACACCCGCCGGGCCCCGCCCCTCACCTCATCCGTGACCGTATCTCCGTCCGGGGGCATGTCCAGCAGCATGCGGATGACCGCCATGTCCTCCGCGTCGAGCTGCGGAGGCAGGGGCAGTGTGAAAGGTATGGGAGTTGTGGGCGGCGGAGGATGGAATTCAGAGCATGGAACTGCGTGCTGGGGGCTACCATGGGAGGTGCGAAGAGGCCTAGCTAAGACGGGCCGTGTACTGGCAACCGGCCCATCTCCAAGACGTACTCCAAGGGAGAAGCTGGGCTGGGCCTTGAGCTGCAAACAACCTACCCCTTTCCGCAAACCCTCATTGCTTTTGCCCTGATCATTCTTGGGTCAGCACTGGGTTGCGGTTTCCCAAGCCCCCGTTAACAATCGGGCAACACCGCATCTTGCTGCCTGCGTTGGGTGGTCCCCCGGCTGCCCACCTTCTCGCAGGTGCTGATGGTGGTGAGCATGCGCAGCAGGGTGTCCAGGCTCACGGAGCCGCGCCCGTGCGGGTCGAGCTGCTGCCAGGCCTCGTCGCTGACGTTGCAGGGCTGCAGCGTGGGAATGGTATTGACATTGGCGCTACGTACGGCGGAGCAAAGCGCAGGGGATGGCCATGCGCATGTACAGCTATTCTTGGGTCCAAGCAACGCGTTCAAGCAAGACAGGTTGTGGCGTGCGTCAAGCGGGGCGTCCCACGGGTCTGCGAGCACACCGGCAGCTAATACAGGTCGGTTTGAAGGTAGCCGCGAAGCGCTCACCAGGGCTGGCTGCCCATCGTGCCATAACAGGCGCACAAGCTTGTCGTGTGTCATGCTGCCGCCGCCACCCAAAAGGCTGGTCACCGCGCCCAAGTCCACATGCGGAAAGTAGTACGACAAGCGGTCTACAAGGTCTGTCCTCGTTATGCTGGACTCCCCTGGCAGACAGGCGGGAGCCGGTAAGCGTCTGATGTGTCACACGAATTGCCATGCAGGTCAGACAAATAAGTTACCGGTAATTGAAACCCGGCACGGTTCAACTGCAGCAGGTGCCAGAATACAACCTCAATCCAGCTACCTACCATTTGGCACTAATACTTTCCAGGCGGACTCGATGTCCTCTCTCATGAGTTGTGGGCTTCGTTGACGCTGCAAAGCGACCAATGGGGAACGCTGAGACATCGACCCGTGCGCTTTTGTAAACGCCTAGGGCCGTGATAAACGCTTACGTGTTCTCTAATAAGCTCTTCTGTAAAGCCCCTAACAGGCGGCTTGTCATCTTGCTTTGAAGCGCTGCCAGAAACCATCGATGGCCGTGCACTTATCATCCTGCCTATTGGATATGTATTAACAAGGATAGAGAACTACGCAACAGACAGTAGAATCGTGCTCTAGGGCACCACGGCCTTCCGCTTGCACATCGGTCGTCCGCTCGTCCCTGCCCGACGTATTCCTTACAGGCTTACACTCCGGCGTACCAGGTACAGCATCCGGTCAGCATTAATCATACACCATAGCAAAACAACCGTAGACTATCCCCATACGTTACTTTAGGATACATACTTTGATTCAACCATATGCCCATCGACAGCTCCAGCCGGGCTGCTAGCCTGCTACTCCTGCTCCAATGCGCGTTACTTACCTGAAGACTTTTATGGCGCTTGCGATAGCTTGATAGATGGCTTCATAATTGACATAAGGTTAAAAATGTCCGAACCGGACGCAAAGGGACCTGAGGTTGAAGTGGCTCCGAGCCCTTGCCCTAGCGACCATTCGGAGCTGTTTCCGAGGTGGAATAGTCCAACAGTGCTTAATCGGCCCATGTTGCCACTTCAGGCGTATGGTTTCGCGCTGATAGCGTTGCTTACCGATGCGCAGGCGACTGCGGTACTCGGAAGCGGTCTTGCCCCTTCACGTCTTCAATGATGCCAGCGACGCCCCTGCCCAGGCCTCGTCATCATCGTCTAATGTTATTCGTCCTCTCAAGGTAAGAGGAAGCTTCTTGTTACCTATGCCCGCATCCATTGCCTAAAGGCGCTTGTATCGCAGGTGTATGCCCGCGTTAAACCCCTACTGGATGCTTATGCTAAGGCCGGCCATGGCGCAGGCGCAGGCGGCGCTCCGGCCGAAGCGACGTTACATACGACAGCCACAGAGGTTATCCAGGAAGTCCGCACTGGTCAAAGCAAGACTTATAGCTTCGACCGTGTCTTCCAGGGCACAGGGCAGCAGGAGCTCTATGAAACAGCAGTGGAACCTCTGGTGCGTCCGCTGCGGTTTGGGTCGATAGCTGCCTGACCATCCTGCTGCTTCAGCTCTACTATGCTAATGCAAGGCCCATATGCGCCCATGCCTATCAGGGATTCCAACGTCCCCCGCACTTGCTCCACTGCCGTCCGTTTCACTCACAATGCAGTTGGAGGAGCTGGTGACCTTCCGCACCGCCAGCAGCGTCTTCATGGCGTACGGCGCCAGCGGCACCGGCAAGAGCTACACCATGCAGGGCACGGCGGCCCAGCCCGGCATGATACCGCGCACGATTACCCGGTTATACGAGGTAAGAGAGCAGGGAAGCATGTGGTGTTGCCTGGAAGGTTGACCCTAGAGTGCTGCACGTAGGAGGTTGAGGCTTTGGGGTTGGCACGACGTGAACGACTGTTCCTTTCGTGTGTGACCGGCTCCCTGCATACTATGTTTTACCGCCGGCGTAAGATGATCATTGCCTTCATGGCTGTCTTCCTTTCGCTTCAGATGCTGGCGGGACAGGACCGGCAGCACCAGGTGCAGTTGAGCTTCTACGAGGTGCGAGGCGCCCTGGGGGTTCGAGGGTGGGTATCGATGTGTCCGACAGTACACAATGGGTGAAACCTTGCCCCGCGTTCCCGCTCATAACGCACGATTCCTCTTCCCGGTGTTCGCAACCTGCGCCTCCTCCTCCTGGCTGCTGTTCATCATCAGGTGTACGACAAGAAGGTGTACGACTTGCTGGAGTCGGCTCGCCTGGGCGGCCGCCCCACGCAGCCGCTGCACATCCAGGTGCTGGGCGCCTGCTGCTGCCTGCCCGGCCTCAAGCTGGTGGGTGATGCATGGATTTGGGCTGCGTCTCGTTGTGCGCACATGGGGTCTTCGACGCGTCAGGTGTTGGGGTGCACTACTGATATCGGTATGCTGTAGTCGCTGAGCACCGGCGGAACCTTCCATGTTGGGCCATGCGGGTGCAGTGCAGGAACAATGTCCAGCTCCAGACTGCTGAGATCCTGAACCGGTTCCGTTGCAGTTCCACTGCCCGTCCGCTGAGGAGGGCCAGAAGCTCTACGCCGCGGGGGCGGCCACTCGCAAAGTCGACCCGACGCAAGTGAACAACGAGTCCAGCCGCTCCCACGCGGTCTTCACGGTAGGTGGACGCAGCAGGGGTGCTAGACAAGTCCCGCAATCGTCTACTGTTAGGTCCTACTATTCGCAGGTTCGGGCCAGCAAGCGAAATTAATTTACGCTAGGCCACCGTTGCCGCACCTACGTGCACTAAACGCTGTCGCCCGCTCCCTACAACCGCTGTGTCATGAATCCAGATTCAGCTAATCGAGACCGAAGAGGGGACGGCCACGGTAAGTAGTGCACAAGGAAAGACACTAGAGAACAATGGAGACATACACCACCATGCACATCCTCTGCGCTATCCCTGCTCGGAGCCCTATCCACCACTACGGCGGCCCCTCGGCCCTCCCGGACACGTCATCCGCCCTGCCCTCGCAGGGCCGCAGCGCCACCCTCTCCCTGGTGGACCTGGCGGGGTCGGAGCGTACCAAGAAGACCAATGTGGCGGGCAACAAACTGCGGTGAGACACCCTGGCGTCCTGGTCCTGGGGGCTAGGACCGGTCATGTATGCATACGCTTTATATGGTCAGGCCCGTGCAACTGCTCTACTCTGTGCAGGATCTCTCATCCGCAGAGCCTTCCCACATTAGCATTCACCTCAGTCCTTCCTCCCTGATTACCGTCATCACCGGACTGTCCATCTTTGGCTCTCCCACAACGCAGGGAGAGCTCCGGCATCAACTCATCCCTCACAGTCCTGGGTCGCTGTCTAGAGGCACTGCGACACAATCAGGCTCTCGCGGCACGCTTGCAAGCGCAGGGGCCTTCCCGCGCCGGCGGCGGTGCTGGCGGTCCCTCCGCTGCAGCGGCAGGGGGCGGTGCCGTCCCGCGGGTCATTCCTGTTCGCGAATCCAGCCTCACCACGCTGTTCCGGTCTGTGCTGACGGGCGAGGGCAACCTGGTGCTGTCCGTACATGTCAGCGAGCACCCGGAGGAGTACGACATGAACCTTCAGACGCTGCGGTTCGGCGCTCTGGCGTCCAGGGTGCAGACCACGGTAGCTGCGCCGGTGGCGGCGCCTGCAGCGCGGCCGCCGCTGCCGCCTGCTGCTCGGCCGTATCGTGTGCCGCAGAAGCGGGTGGCGGTGGCAGGCCTTGCTGGCCGAGGACTGCTAAGGTGCGCTGCGGGTGTGCACCACGATAGATGCGTCGTGTTAAGGGAACCGCTTATGGCCGTTCTTGTTGGCTTTAGCCTGCGTGAAATGCGCCTTACCTGTGGCAGGGCCGTCGCATGCAAGACCTTCCCATGCCCTGTCTACCGTACGCAGACGGCCAGCTGCCATCAAGGCGAAGCGGAAGTCGGCCATCCTCGAGGGGCCAGAGCTGGAGGAGGCGGAGGAAGGCGAGCAGGCTGGTGATGCCGGTGACGGGAGCAGCGGTCTTGCGCAACAGCAGCCCGCAGCAGGGCAGCCGGAAGTCGAAGAAGATGAGGAGGCGGAGCTGGGTGCGGAGGCGGATGCGGGCCCGCAGCAGCAGGTGCCCAGCGGCGCTGACGCGGTTGTTGTGGAGAGCTTGCGGTCCGAGTTGCAGGGGCTGCGGGACCAGGTTCAGCAGCTGCAGGGCCGGTGTGAGCAGCTGGACGGGGAGGTGCTGCAGCTGCGGGGGGACAAGCGGCACCTGCAACAACAGGTCGAACAGGTAGGAGCTGCGGCTGGGGAGGGCAGGGTCGGGGTTTGAGGGTTGCCATGATCCGAGCAACGCATTCTGGTGGCCCTTGTACAGAGTTGCGACATCTGGCCTGGTTAGCAGTGTTTCTCATTCAACGATGAGTCTGTAAGGTGTTCGTTGCAAGCGTGTGTCAGGCTGGCGCTGTCTCACGAGCCAGCCATGTCCCAGGCTTTGTTCGTGGAATCGTTGGAGCCTTTGTTATCACCATGCCACCTGCGTGTTCCCATGCCCCTGGTCCATACCTCGCCGTCCCCGACCACCAGCTCACAGAGACGGCGCCCGAATGGGAGGCGCTGGTGTTCTCGGAGCGCGAAGAGAAGAAGGAGGCGCAGCGGCGGGTGTGGCAGCTGGAGGCGCAGCTGGCGGCCTCGCAGCGGGAGCTGGCGGGAGAGAGGATGACGAACAAGGTGAGCGCCACACGCGCGTCAAGTGCGGTTTAAGGTGACCCACCACCTGATGATGGGCGCAAGGACCGTGTTTAGAGAGATATGGCTGAGGCTGGTACCTTGCGTTTGATGTTCCTATGCCTACGCGGTTGGGATAAAGCACGTTGCACACGTTCACCGACACCTTAATGACCCTTGTATGTTCTCCTGGCTTTCCTCACAGACGCTCCTCCAACGGCTATCGGAGGCCCAGTCGGCGGCCGCCCGCTCCCAGCAACAGCTGCAACAGCTCCAACAACAACTGCAGGAACAGCAGCAGCAAAGGAAGCCGCCGTTAGCGGATCCTGGTCCCCGCGGGGACGCACTGCAGAGGCAGGAGTGTGCGGTGGATACCGGCCGCCATGCGGCTAGAGCTGGTACTTCGGGGGAGGAGGAGGCGCCTGTTGCGCTGCCTGCTGACCCTACGCGGACGGCAGCCGCCGCAGCAGGTGGCGCCGGTGGGCGGAGCGAAACTGCGTGTTGCCAGCCCGGTGGCTTGCCCGGTGAACAGGCTCCCGGCACATCTGGGGTGGCGGCGCGGGCAGCTCTGACCTGCATCCGCAACACCGGTAGAGCTGGAGTGGACGACACGGCGGGAGAAGGGGAGGAAGCAGCAGCCAGGGGTGCGGCGGGCGTTGCACAGCGGGACGGGCCTGACTCGGAGCAGCCCCCTGGCAGCAGTGCGGTGGGGTTAACGGGGCGAGCTGGACAGGTGTGTAGATGGCGTGGGGGACTGCAGGGGAGCAGCAGGCAGGTTAGGGGAGCAGCATGCAAGCTACCGGTGATGCCTAGTGAGGCTCATGGCGTCAGTATGTGTGAGGGGGCTGCCGTCGAAGTACCTTTCACCCGACTAAACCCCTCACCTGAGTAAGCTATGGCCCTTATAACCCTCCCCCCCCCGTAACAATATTACACGTCCTTATACCAGTACCCTTTTTGCCCCCTGCCCGTGCCCTTCTACCCCTTTCCACTTCCTCGTCATGCCTTGCAGGGACGACACACCAAGGGCAGCAAGGCAGGCAAGCGGCGGCGCGCAGGGGCGGCCAGCGGTGGCGGGGACTGTGACGAGGCGGGGCTCAAGACGGCCGATGGGTCAGCTGACAGGGTGCGAGAGGAGCGGGAGCAGGCGGTAGCGAGCGGGGCAGTTGGGGACAGCTGCAAGGCGACGGGGATTACGCCAGTAGCTGGCAGGACGCGACGCAAGCGTCATGCGGGAGCGTAGTGGGGTAGGATTTTGGCGGTTGATGGTAGTATGCAGGAAACATTGTGGATAAGTCCCCTCAGCGGGTTGTCTGCTTCCGTTCGGAACTGCTCGCATGGATGTCTCCTGCCAACCTTGCCGGAATCTTACAGGTCTGAGCGTGGCATGCCGGATTGTAGAGTATATAGCGTGAACGTTATTCATACAACCGTTTGACCCTCACGATAATGGTTTTAGGTACCAAGGATCTCCCTACATACCGGAAGGTGGGCACCCTATACATCCGTTTACAATCATGTTATCCATTCACCGGTACACATTCACTGCCGCAGTTTTACCTCACAAAGATGGTGGAACTGCAAACTCTGCGGTGGAAGGGTGTGCCTACTGACACCGAGATAGTTGGCTTTGCAATAATTTAATACTGGGGACGAACGTCCAAACTGTCTAGCAGCTTGAGCAGCTGCAACTGTCAGCAGCTTGTCCGGTCGGCAACATTGCGCATATTCTCCCTACATCGCTGTAACGGTCAGCGCCAAAGCCCACACCATCTGGAGTTCAGCAGTACAAAAGCCACCATCTGCCCAGCCAACGCTGTCATCGAACCTACTCACATCAACGCTACAGGGTAGTAAGGAAGGTTGTTGCGTTGGGCGGCGCTTGTGCAGCTTGTGCAGCTGCCGGGGCCGCACAGACGCAGGTCCGCAGCTGGCAGGAGGGGCAGCGGCGGCGCGACGTTGGCACTCCAGTTGCGGCAGGGACCCGTGAGGCCGGTCGGCTCTGCTGCTGCTCTGCTTCCAGCTCCGCTACCCGGGTCTGCAGTGAGGCGCGCTGAGCCTCCAGATCGGCTACCCGGATCAACAACGCATCCCGTTCTGCTTCCGCCACCGCCGCCCGGGTCACCGCTGCGTCTCGCTCCGCCTCCACCTCCTCCACTCGGGCCTCTGCAGCCCGCCGTTGCGCCACCGCTGCGGTGTGCCGATCCACCGCGGCATCCCGCTGCGCCACCGCTTGTGCCATCTGCCTAACGATCAGCTGGCGGCGCGTGTCCGGGACGTTGGAGTCCAGGGCCTGCGTGAAGGGCTCCATGAGCTGCTCCGTCAGGCGGTCAATGTCCTTGTCCGCGCCCTCGTACAGCCGGCAGAACTGCAGGTACCTGCGGTTGCAGGAGGGGCCGCAGGACGGTTAGATGAACGGGGCGAGGTAATGAGGAAGGGGTGGGGTTGAGCCGCAAGCACCCGCACCTGTCCCTGGCCGCCTCCTGCAGAGTCCACATGTCCTCCCCCAGCAGCCGCTGCAGCAGCAGTGTGTCGCTGTGCTCCCGCTCCAGCGCACTCAGGCTGCCCCAGCCGTACTGCCGTACGGGGTGCCACAGCCGCCGCCCGCCACCCAGCGCCACCTCCTCCCCGGTGCGGCTGCCCACCACCGCGAACACAAGCGGCTGGCTGGGCAGCTGCAGCGCCTGCAGGGCGGCTGCGGAGAACTGGAGAGGCTCCACCGGCTCCGGCTGGCCTGCGGGGGAAAGGGAGGGATGGAGAGCCGGAGTGGTGGGTGGGTATCAAACACGCGATTCTGACTGGGTATATACTGCAGCCCCCGGCTTGGTTCCCAACTGGAAGCACCCATACGGCCTTCACACCCACCCACCCTCGCTGTTTCTGCGCGCCTGCATGGCCGCCAGGATCGCGCTCTTGTGCTGCTGCAGCTCCTCCCGCGTGTGGCAGTCGGCCTTGGCCACCACCGGCAGCACCGGCACCAGGCGACTCAGCGCGGCCAGGTACTCCAGGTCCATGAAGCGGAACCTGGGGGGTGGGGTGGGGGGGGAGGGGGGTAAAAAAAAGGAAAACTGACAAACTGGATGGGAGGGGGAGGGAGGCACGAGGGGGAGGGACGCATGCATGCCGTAAAGGCAAGAGCTATTCCAAAGGAAAGCGGTGACGACGCTGTAGAGCGTGTATGACCCATGGGTCCTGACCGCCTCGTACCCACCTGTGCGGCTGAATGAAAAACAGGCACAGCGTGGGTCCGTGCGGCAGTACCCCCAGGCTGTGCTGCACCAGGCCATTCGGCCCGCGGGCCCACTCGTAGTCCGCCTGGCGCTGCCGCAGCAGCCAGCACACAACGGCACGCAGGTGGCCCACTGCGAGATAGGGGGGAGGGTGGGAGGTGGGGACAGAACGTTGCATTGTGATAGAGGCTAGCCCTGCAGGTTGCATCACGAACACTAAATTCGAAATATGCAAAGGCTGGCGGCTGAAAATGCCGAAATCCGCCAGGAAAGGAGAAAGACCAAGGGGGACCACCCAAACAAGGACAGCAACTTACTTCTGAGCCCCACTTACGTATGTCGCGCGTGTCGCCGTATCCGGGGGTGTCTTGGAATTGCGCCTTGAGTGTGCGCTGCGCCTCCGGCAGCGGGATGTCGGGCAGCGGCGTGCACAGCGCCTCCGGGTGCTGCGTGAAGGCATCCAGGGAGGTGCCTGCACGCAGGAGGGGGGCGGGCGCGGCACATGCAGGCGAGTGGGTGCGTGGGGCTTCCATGGAAGCAGTTTGTGGCGAGCAGCACATCAGCCAACAGGACACCAAGTGCAGGTGCTGAATGAATGAATGACCGTTACAATCAGTGTTTCTATCTTCCCTCCAGGGCGATCGTGGAACCCCACGATAAGTGACGTTTTAGGCCCAATCTTTTCGACAGCCCTCACGTTCGACCCCTGAAATTTTTCGTGTACGATCCGGGGCCTCCCAAGGGCCTATTTTTTCGAAAACCGTTTTCGAAAAGGGGCTGCTAGATTTTCGTGCCTTGACCAGCGGTAGTACAGCAGCCTAATGGAAGGGCCCAATTCACGACGTGCCCGTACCCTAAAGTGTAGCGCAGCGCTTCTGCTAGCCGTAACCCTTTTGCTCTCTTGGGGGAAGGGTCTCCCCCCCGACCTACTCACGCGCCCACGGTGGTTACTTGTGCGGTGGTAGTGTGCCTCCAGCCACTAGAAGTGGAAAGACCTTCCCCCTCATCACCCCACTTACCTTTGCCATGACGGATCCCGGCTGCTGCTAGCTAACCCCAACGGTAATTGCAACCCGCACCACCACGGTTATCATGCTAGGGTCCGCCACCGCTTTTCCTTACAAGGCAGCCTGGCAGCAGGGGCGACAGCCGATTGTTGTAAGCATTGCATGCTTTTACACTTGGCGCGGCGTCGATTAAGACACGCGTTCTGGGCGTTGTTGTAACGCTCACAGCATTCAGCGCTTGCCCACCTGAAAGACGCATACATCCACATTTCAGCCCAGCCTTTATACGGAGCTTCTTAAACATTGCTTGTTTGCTTCGGAATTCCAAGTCGCATGCAAATCGCTTAACATAAATGTTCCCGCCAAACCACAAGTAAGGCGAGTCTGTGCTCGCAGTTGCAAACTAATGTTGTAATGAACAAGCTTATTACATAAGGTTGAACACAAAAGCTAATAGGCATTGCCGTCGTGTAAGTCATGGTCGCAGTTCTTGCATGTACGACGCCCTTGGTAACTGCGAGCCAAGACTAGTAGAGGTATTCCCCCAAGAACCAGGTTGGTCTTGGCCTCTGCGGTGCTCGACAACGAAGCAAGGGAAGCCATATCAATGCAGCCCTTTGCACCACTGCACTGTCTGCGCCTTAGAAGACCCCTGGGACCATTCTGCTCCCAGGGGTCCTCCAGCATGCAGGACTGCCATGTACGCGTGTTGACACGTGTCCCCCTACCTCTTCATCACTTCACAGCTTTGGTTTGGAAGGAACAATAAGCAAAGGTATGGGCAGCAGTATACGTGCATTGGCCATGTGTGGCGTAAAAGTTCCATGTACCCCATCAGCTAACATATGGGTGGTCAGGGGTGCAGCAAGTTGGTAACAAGTTGCCTTACTTGTTTTCCCTAGTTGGGCGTTGTGCAATGTTCCCGTTACTCGTACGGTGTATGTGCCCAAACCCTGCCATGCACAAGCTATCCCTCCTAACTTTTAGCATGGTTTGGCTCAGCCAGGTTCCCGTTATGCCGCTCTAGCTAGCCATAACCATAACAACAAAAGGTTGAGCCCACAAAACCAGGTATCTGTGCCCTGTCTGTGCCATTGGAGGCTAGGAACAACTGAATTGGGCAGGCTCGGCGCGTGCCTCCGGCTCCGGGTTTCGGACCGTGAGGCAAAAATGTGAGCGTCGATCCCACGATCTTGAGCATGTTTGGCAAACTTTCATCGTGAGGCTCTACGATTACCGGCCCTGAAAAAGCTCAAAGAACGTTGACGATTTTGGTCATTTTCCGCCTTATGAAATGTGCCATTTTCAGAAATTTTTCGAAAAAACGAAGTAAGATAGAAACGCTGGTTACAATGGTTCCCTAAAAGGGAACACGGGTGATGAACCCAACCCTACACTGCAAGAAAAGCGCAACACGCCGGAAAGACAACACCACAACGGGCCAGCAGGAAACAGGCTGTTAGTTACCGGGGTAAGCATGGCGCAAGCTGCAAGGGTACACGCTCATGCACGCACCCGCTCACCCTACCTGCACCTGCCGGCACCTCAAGCCGCTCCGGAGCCACCCCCAGGCGCACCGCCGTGTTGTGAATGAAAGTGGACTTGCCCAGCCCCGCGTCGCCCGCCACAAGCACGTTGAGGTGCAGCGGCGGGTTGGAGGGCGGAACCATGGGTCCGCCGCGGAGCAGCACGGCCCCGTCCGGGCCGCTCAGCAGCCGCCGCGGGTCGATGCTGGCACGGGCCGCCCCTGCTGCTTGCATGCCGCCGCTACCGCCATCGCCGCATGGAGCAGGGCCGCGGCTGTCGTTGTCGTTGTTGGCAGGCTGCTCTCCACTAGCGGCACCAGCGGACAGCACTAGCACAATAGACGGGCTTGCGGACCCGGCGGGCGGATCAGGGCCGGGCAGAGGGTCCATGACAGCGGCCTGGCCGGCGGCTCGGCTGAGGTTGGGAAGGATGCCGTCGGCTGCCTGCTCGCTGAACAGGGCTGCGGGTGATTGCTCCTCCGATGCAGCGGATGCGTCTGATGACATGCGTCGGGAGGTGGGCGGAGGCGACTGCTCGGGTGAAAGGACGGTGTAGCTCGGAGCCGGCGGAGCGGCTGCGCTTTCAAAGGGGCTGCTGACAGGGTCGTCGTTGTCGCCGTTGCGGGCGTTGCTGCTGTTGCCGTACACGGGGGCTGTGAAGGGGTTCACAACCGGCCGGCTTACAGCAGCGGGCAGTGTGCCCATATGGTTGCTCCCCTGCGCGACGGCCGGGGACGGCATAACCCTTACACATACGCTTTGCGAGGCCAATAATTCTTGGTAGCGCTTGATGAAACAGCGAAAGGCATCGGTCTATAGGCGATTCAAGGTGCCGGTATTTTGATTGTGCACGTCCTGTCGAGGCAACCTAGGGCTGGCCAACGAACGGGGCGGACCAACCGAAACCGCCAGCCAAGCACAGCGGCCTCACCCTGGCAAGGGCTGCAGTTGCAGCAGCTGCCAACTCAGCAGCCTGTGATGCCTCCTCGAGTGACACCAGGTAACCGCTGCTGCCCGAGCTATGGGAGCTCCTGCGGCTCATGTGGATAGGCTCTCCGGTGGTATCCACAGCGCAGAGAGTGCTTAGCAGCTGTAGCTCCTACCAACTACAGAATATGTTGAGAGTCTCAAACAGCTATAAAGCTGTTGCGGAGGCAGCCAGAAGCTTCTTTCTCCAGAGCGACCGACCCCCTATCAAGATCCAGTGATGGGACGTCCCTGGAGCTCTCGAGGCAAGCCGGGGATGGACGACCCGTGGAGCCGACCCGTGGGAGCCAACATGCGTCGCGTCACCTTGCCTCGTTTGTGCACAGTTGCAGTTAGTAAGGCTACATGCAAGTACAAGTACCGGTAACCGCGAGTTACGAAGTTAACCTTGACCCCAATACGCTCCTCGGCTGCAAGTTAACGAGGAAGTCGAAGGTGCTTTGTTGCAGCTTCCTCGCGTTTGGATGTGTTGGGGCTTTGGAAGCCCCAACATTTCAGCTTTACTGGTTCGCCGGGTCCTAGGTCTATAGGAGGAGCAAGGCGCAGACCTGCACTTCCGCGATGCAAGCCTGCACACTTATAGCTGGGTTCCCCATCGCCCGTGACCACCTCTTGGGTAGCAATGTAGCGGTCCATCATCACTCAGTTACCGCAGGCTAAAAGAAGGCCCCTCACACAGTCCACGACACAAAGCGCAAACATGCCGCACACAGTGTGGATGGGCTAGGCTGTGAAGTCCCAAGGCGAACAAACAAGTAGGCCGCAGTAAGCGCCTACCCTGCCCCAACGCACAGCACACGGCTGAGTTGTTACAGCCATACAGCCATGTCGTATATTCGTGGTGGCACAGCGCCGACCCAAGAAATCCGTCTCATGCTACCGACCGCTACCCGTCCAAACAGCCAAACAGTCTGCCCGCCGGCGGTGCTGCGCTTCTTCTGTACCATATTTCCGTACACCACTAACCACCTGGCGCCCGAACCTAGCAGAACCTGAGGCCGCTACGTTCCCAAACCCTCCTAACTCTCGGAAGGACCCCTCCTACCCGCTACCCGTCACACGCTCCTGTCACATGACCTTCCCACTCCCAGCGAGCAACATCCACACGCAAGGTGGCCATGCAACGCTTTACGCAGCCCCTTCACACCACGCACAAGCCCAAAGGTGCATTTGGTCGGCGCGCGGTGGAAGCAAGGCACACACAGCCACGAGCAGCCCCTTTCCTCAACACCCAAGCAGCCCGCATGCTTCCTACCACCTGCTGCGTGCACCTGTCGCGTTCACACCCACCTCCCCCCGCTCGCCGCGCTGACAGCCCCTCCCCGCTTGCTGCTTACAAGCTCCCCAAGCCACAAACCCCATTATCTCACCCCATCAATGGCGGGTTCCGCGGGGCGGGGCTAACCGCGGGACGCATCCAGGTGCCAGTGCAGCGGCCCTGCCGCACACGGACCTGCCGCACTCTGGCAGGGAGCTCACCCCCAGCTCGCGCATCCACCTCAGCCAGCGAGCACACCCGCCGGCGGCGCTGGCCGGGGTCCGCAGGGGTCCCTGCTGCCTCACAGCGGCTTGGCGATCAGCACGATGCAGGAGTAGGCCTGAGGGACGGGATAGGGGGGGAGATGCGGAGGTGAGGACCAGCTGGTGAGGGGCGGGCAGCGGACAAGCCCATGAACAAGTGATGAACGAACGCCCTCCCTTCACCGCCCACCTACCGTTCCTCTCCCTCTCCCACCCCAGTCCCGCCACCCCCCTCCCTCCACCCCCCTCCCTCCCTCCCTCCGCCTACCTGCACGCTGTACACCGGCTCCACCCCTGCATTGCCGCCTGGCGTGAAGTCCTTGGGCGGCGGCAGGTTGGTGTCCACCAGGCGGGCCCACTTGCGGCCGGGCGGCGGGCGCGGCAGGTGCGCGGGCACGGGGAAGGAGTGCGCGTTGAAGGCGGCGTAGATGTCGCCCTGGGGCCCCGCGTGGTGCAGCGTGAAGGCCAGGAAGCGGCTGTCGTCGTTGTACCAGTTGTCCTCGTGCCAGGTGACGTCGCCGGGGCTGTGTGTGCATGCGGGGAGAGATGAGGGGGGGATGAGGAGGTGGAGGGAGGCTAACGGTAACGGTAGCAGTAGGGCGCGGTTGCTGGGAGGTCCCCTCCCTCACCCCATGAACGTCTCCCGGCCCAGCGCGGGGTGCTCCTTGCGGAAGGCAATCAGCTGGCTGGTGAACCGCAGCAGCGCAGCGGCGGGGCTGGCAGTGGCGGCGGCGGGGGGGGGCGCGGCGCCCTCCAGCTGCCCCTGCTGCTGCTGCAGGGCCGCCTGCTGCTGCTCCAGGGGCAGCCACTGCAGGTGCGCCGTGGGGGTGTCGTGGCCGTACCAGTTGTTGTTGCCGCCGTGGGACTTGGCAACCTCGTCACCTGGCAGGAAGGAGGGGGTGAAGGGGGGGAGTATGATAGGTGAAGCACTGAAATGGGGCCATGGTGGGGGAGAGGGAGCGGGAAGGAGGGGTGATGTCCGTCAACAAGGCTAAATACAACGGCAGGGAGGAGCCGGGGGAGCGGAAAGTAGTGATGATAAGGCAGGGGCCAAAACGCTCACGTCATTGACCTCTTTAACAACCCTCTTCCCTTCCCCCCACCCCCCAGGCCCCCGCCGTACCGCTGACGATCATGGGTGTGCCCTGACTCAGCATCAACGCCACTAGGAAGTTGCGCATCTGCCGCTGCCGCAACGCAGTGACCCCTGGGTCACTCGTGTCGCCCTCCACTCCGCAGTTCCACGAGAAGTTGTCATTCGAGCCGTCGCGGTTGCCCTCGCCATTCGCCTCATTGTGCTTTCCGTTGTACGACACGAGATCGTACAACGAGAAACCGTCATGTGCAGTAATGAAGTTGATGCTGTGGTACGGCCGGCGGTTGTTGGTGTTGTACAGATCTGCGGATCCCGCCAGCCGCGTGGCGAAGGCGCGCTTCATGCCGGGGTCTCCCTTTATGAAGCGGCGCAGGTCATCTCGGTAGCGTCCGTTCCACTCGGCCCAGATGTCCCAATTGGGAAAGCTGCCCACCTGGCGGGGTTGATGGGGAGTGAGAGGGATGAAAACTGAATGATAAAGCGCAGCAACGGAGTCCTTATCCCAAATGCGGTGAAAAAGTGCAGTGAAGGGGATGGGGAGAAGCGGGGAGAGGAAGGTAAAGGATAAGCCCAGCAGTCCAGGAACACCCCGGCGTCTACCGATACCAGTATTGCCCCCCCCCACCTGGTACATGCCCAGGTCCCAGGGCTCCGCTATGAGTTTCACTTGTGACAGCAGCGGGTGCTTGCTGATGGCGCGGATGAGGGGCGGAGCGGGCAGCGGCCGGCCGCGCTCGTCTGATGGGGGGCCGGGAGGTGTGGTGGTGGGTTGGTGGTGGGAGTGATGGCGGTGGTGAGAATGTAGGGGAGGTGAGCATTGAGGGAAACAGGGAATGGGGTTGGCATCACATCGATGCCTGCCGATGTGTCCCTGCCTGCCTGCCTGCCTGCCAAACAACCGGTTGGCCCTGACGACACCTGTCCAGCTCTCCCCGCCCTCCGCTGGGCTGGGCTGGGCTGGGCTGGGCTGGGCTGGCTCATATGTTGCAAACCATGATTACGCCTTATCACACGGTCAGTTAGCTGTTTCCTCTTTACCCCCGCCCCCTCCCCTCCTCGCTCCCCTCCTCCGCACCGTCAGCTGGACAGCTGTAACCCCCTCCCCCTTCCTTTCCTATCGCTCCCCGCGCTTGGCACCATAAACGAGTATGCCCTGTTGCCCTCCCTCCTCCCCTCATATGGGATTGGGACTCGCTGTTTCACTTATATCATTTCCCCCCCTCACCTCTCCCCCCACCTCCAAGTGCCCCCACTCACCCCTGCACAGGCAGCTCGCCAGGTCGAACCGGAACCCGTCCACATGGTATTCTCGCACCCAGTGCACCAGGCTGTCCAGCACCAGCTGGCACACCACCGGGTGGTTGGCGTTCACGGTGTTGCCGCAGCCCGACCAGTTGACCAGCTGCACGAACTGGGTGGGGTCGGTCATGTAGTAGACGGAGTTGTCGATGCCGCGCAGGGAGAGAGTGTAGGGGTCGGCGTCGTCCGCCTCCGCGGTGTGGTTGTACACCACGTCCAGCAGCACCTGGATGCCGTGGGCGTGCAGGCTGGGGGAGGGGAGGGGAGGGGAAGTGGGGGGGAGGGAAAAAGGAGGGGGGGAGGGGTAGGGGAGGGGCCGGGGAGGGCATGGAGGCAGATCAGCTACGGTCTTGCGCGTCTGCCCGTCATCTGCCATCGCAGTCCTCAACCCCGAAACCACCACCAGTCTACCCTACCACTCCCGCCTCGTGCTAAGTCCAACTGCGCCACAGTGACACTCTCAGTGACCCCACCACGTCCTACTCACGGTCAGGTTCCTTGACACTCACCGCACACACTCGCTTTCCTCCTCGCGGCCACCCAGTTTCCTTAACAGTTAACACCCACCCAGTTTTCGTAAAACACACCCACGTTTTGACCATGTCCTTGAACTCCCGTGTGGTCGCCTCCGGCCCCTCCGCCCCGCCGCTGCCCAGCCGGGTCGCGGGCGCGAAGAAGGAGATGTGGGAGTAGCCCCAGACATTGGTCATGTGGTCGCGCGGGTTGGGGCGGCGGCGGAACTCCAGCTCGTCCCACTCGAACACCGGCAGCAGCTCTACCGCGTTAATGCCCAGGGAGGCAAGGTAGGGGGCCTGGGAGGGGGGGGGGGTCAAGGGCCATACCGAGCCATAGGAAATTACAGGCTGGGGCAAGACAATGGGGATAGGAAGCGGCAGGAGGAGGGAGGAGGCGAGGAGGGTGGACGGGGGGTGGGGTGGAACTGAGGCGCTACCCCGGAACCTCGCTTACTCGCGGTGTGCGAAGGTGAAGGGATGGGTCAGGGAGAGGTGAAAGGCTGCCTCCTTACCTGCTGCCCCACTGCTTCTCCACCGCTACGCCTCTGACCCGCTCGCACCAGCAGCCCCCCCCCAGCAGCAGCAGTCGCCAGCACATGCAGGCTACACATGCAAGTCACCCGCGCTTTTTGCCTCTTTATGGTATCATATGGCTTGGTCTCATTTGACCCCCCTCCCCCCGCACCTTTGCCGCCAGCCCCGCGAAGGTGCCCCGCTGCAGCTCCGGCAGCCCCGCGGAGGTGTGCGCGGTGAAGCAGCGCACCGGCACCTCGTAGATCACCAGCTCGCGCAGCTGCTGGCTGGGGCGGGCGGCGGGCGCCTCGGAGGGGCCCCAGTCGTAGGGCGCGGAGTCGAAGTCGTACTGGCCCAGGAACAGACTGCCCTCCTGGTGGGTGGGGGATGGGGATGGCGCGAGGCAGGGAAGAGAGAGGGGGGATTGAGGGGGCGGGGGATGTGACGAGTGGATGAGTGGACAGGGGACACGGACGGGGGTGCTGCGAAAGGGAGTGCCGCCCACCGACCCATCCCCGCGCTGGCCCGTCGCTCCCCTTCACCCCTTAGCTCCTCACACACAAACCCAACCTCTTCTCGCTCCTCCCCCACCTTCTCCTCCCCTCCAACCAACCCCCCCGCCTCCCCCCCCCACCTTGCCCCGGAACTGCTCCCGCTCGTCCCGCACTCCGAACCTGCGCCGCCCCGCCACCAGCGGCGCGTAGGGGTCCAGCAGCACCCGGTCCGGCTGCCAGCGGTGGCCCGCCTCCCACCCGCCCTCGCCCCACACGCGGAAGCCGTACGGCACCCCGCGGCCCGGCAGCCCCACCAGCTCCACGTGCCACACGTCACCTGGGGGGAAGGCGGGAGGGGAGGGGAAAAGAAACAAACCCAATGGGAGTGGAGAGGGTACGGGGAGTGGAGAGGGTATGATGGCTCGCCAAGTCCATGGACGCAGGAAAGCCTTGAAGAGCCAACCAGTTAAGTTCCGAATGCCATATGTTGAAAGAGGCGTCTCCACTGTACGGGAACACCCAGGGATCTGCGTTGCGCTGCGCAGCCCCCAGCCCTGCCCCCACCCGGCCCCTCCGCCGCACCTGTGCGCTTGCAGTCCACCTCATCCACCTGCTGCAGGTCGGAGTTGAAGAGGCACAGCTTCACCGCCGTGGCGTGGCGGCTGAACAGCGCGAAGTTGATTCCAGCGGCTGTGCGACTGGGGCCCAGAGGTTCGGGCTTGCCTGCGCAATGCCAGGCGATGCAAGGGAGATCAGTATTGGCAACAGGTTTCCACAAACGTCCGAAAACTGGCATTCAAATAGATTATTGTCAGACAGAATAAAAGTAGTATAAAGTAGTATACTCGTGTTTGTTTGGCTTGGGTCAACCGTAAGTGCATGTGCCGTCGAAAGACATCCGACAAGTTCTCACCAGCAGAGACCGCTGTGTATAGCTTTGACTGTTGTGCTGCTGGTGCCGCCTGAGCACAAACGCGCAAACGATGCTGGCGGTGGCTCCGCCGAGGGCAAAGTAAGGAGGCATGCCGCTGCTGCTGCGTCTGCTGCGGTGCTGGCCCCGCGGCATTTCGTAAAGGCTTTACTACACTGACTCGTAGATCTAGAGAACAGACTGAGTGCGTAGCTTCATATGTCCTTGGCCGTAACCCTAAGTTGGTGGTGGGCAAGAGCAACATTTCCGCGGCAATAAGGCTGCTTGTTTACACAAATGGCTTTGTCCCTTCGAGTTAATCAATGAAACTACTTCTGTAGCCCACCGATGCGTAATGCTTGGTTGTTACCCAATCGATTCTGCGATGCCGCCCATTAGTTAATACGACTCTTTTCGGAAGACAAACCCTGGTGAAAGGCCCAGCATTATGTGCGTGCCCCTTACAGAGTTTTGCTCGAATGGCTAGCAATGCATGCATACATTGACAGTTCGGGTGTTGCCACCTGACAACGACCTGCCGAAGCAGATTACGCTTTGGAAGCGTTCCGCTCATACTCCTATGCACATTGCTTTTCCCGAGCATGTGGTTAATACGGAAACCTTTTAACCTGTGAACCTGTGGTGGATGTACGGAAGAGCGCCTCTAGCTCAGCTTCGGCAATGCGTTGGAGGCACGCATGCTCGCGTTGGCCATACGTTTAAACCCCAAGATTACGTGCTTCTACTGCACCCACTGCAGCTGTAACTTGCTTTCGCGCTAGGAAGCTCAGTCTTTACCTGATCTAACAGCATAGAGCAGGCATATTATACTCTTTGTTGTGGTGTTAATAAACTAATCATTCAGGGCCTGTGGGTGAAGGTAGCGCCGCCGAGCGTACAACCCGATTCCACCGCGCCAGGGCGCCTAGCCAAGTATGGCGAACACTAGATACCAAGCAGTGGTCCTGGCAGGCGGCGAGGATCAAATCCTGTATCCGCTCACCACCAACACCGTCAAGGCGCTGCTGCCGGTAGCCAACAAGCCGCTCATCTCCTACCCTCTCCGGACACTAGCTGAGGCGGGCCTGCGGAGCGCTATCGTGGTGCGCACAGCCAGCAGGCGAAGAGCTTGCCGCGTGCTGGGGCATGCACCAGCCTCCGTGGGGGATTGTGGTTGGGGCCCCCTTCTGCACGAACGTCACCAGAAGCCGCTGCACTTCCGGGCATAAGGGCTGAACCATACAGCAAAGCTCAAGTCCAGAACCGGACGTCCTTCCTTTCCCCACCTCCTCCTTCCCTCCCTTCCCTTCCCCTTCCCCATTTCCCTTCCCCTCTTCCCCCTCCCCTGCCCCCCTCAGGTGGTCACCGGCGAGCGCGCCGCCGCCAGCGTTCGCGAGTGGCTCGCCTCGCCCGACTACGCCGCCTGCTCCCCGCCAGGCGCCCCACTCGCCTGCGAGGTGGTGTCCGTGGCGGAGGGGTACGGCACCGCGGACGCGCTGCGTGCGGTGTCGGGTCGCATCACCTCGCCCTCCTTCGTGGTGCTCAGCGGCGACCTGCTGACCGACGTGCCGGTGGGGGCGCTGGTGGCGCAGCACAACCTGCATGCGGCCATGGTGACCATGCTGCTGGCGCAGAGGAAGGTGTCGCCGGCCTCGGAGACCAAGCCGGGGAAGCCGCCAAAGGTGGGGTGTGGGGTCAGAGGTATACCGGAATTATAGGTTAGGGCAGGGCAAAGCAATGGGGATAGGATGAAGCAGTGTGTTGCCCCTACCGGTGGCGGTACGGGAGGAGGAGGGTACTGGGTGATCGGGTGGAAGCGGGAGTTGGAGTGGGAGCCGGGGAGCGAGGAGGGAGAGAGGAGGGGTTGTGCAGCTGGGTTGCTTGGGCAGCTGGGTGAGTGCATGCAGCTCGGGCCAGGGCTGTGTGGGGCAGGGGTACCGGAGCACGCGGAAAGAAGGTGGGGCTGCTATGGCGCCGCTGGGCTGGCAGCACTGGGCGGCATCACGTGCTGGACGGCAGCAGCTGACACAGCGCGCTCTTGCACCTCCTGCCTCAGCGCCCCTCCACCTCATAACTCCCTGCCTGCCCTCCTCTTGCCACCCCCCACCTCCTAACTCCCCTACCCCTACCATACCAGAACGTGGACTACGTGGGTCTGGACCCCACCCGCCAGCACCTGCTCTTCTACGCATCCAGCCCGGATGCGCTGCGGGACCTCAAGGTGGGGGGCGGGAAGGGCTTGGGGAGGTGGGGGCTGGTAGGCGCCCGGGTAGATGGTGGGGGGCAAAGAGGAGGAGCCTTACGAACTGTGTGGGCAGGGCCGGGAGGGGCCTGAAGAGGCGGGTGAGGGCGCTGGGTGGTAGTGCTCGGGAGGAGGAGGAGCGTGTCAGGCGGCGCTGCGTGGGGCGCTGCCGCTGCTGCTGCCGGGCTGCGAGGAGCGCGCTGGAGCACTCGCACGGCACTCCTCGCTGGTCAGCTAGCTGCTTGGCCCTGCGCCTAGCTACATCCGAACCAATGCACTGACTTCACCCCCTGAACCAATGCGCAACCCCGCCTCCAGCCGCCCCCGCACCCTTCATCGCTGCCACCCCCCCCCGCAGGTTCCACTACCCACTGTACGGCGGTACGGCACCATGACCGTTAGCTCCAACTTCTTCGATGCACACCTGTACGTGTTCAACAGGTGAGCGGGCGGGGGGTTGAGGGGCGACTGCATGCATGCGTGCTCCTGTCCTTGCGGTCTCTGTCCGAGTGAAGGAGAGCCCTGACCTGCCCGGCCGCATCAGGGGCATGCGCGCACCGCTGTGATATCATAGGCTGCTCACGCCCCCCTGGTGGCGCCCTGCCCCGCACCCGACACCTCCCTCCCACGCGCCCGCCCCTGCCGCCCCACTTACCCCTCCCTCCCCCCTCCAGGTCCGTGTTGCAGGTGCTGGCTGACAACCCCAAGCTCTCCTCGCTGCGCCAGGACATGCTGCCCTACCTCACGCAGCACCAGTTCCGCATCCGAAGCAGCCGCGAGCAGCAGCAGCAGCAGCAGCTGGCGGCGGCACAGCGCTCGCCCTCGGCCTCGCTGGCAGCGGCGGTGGCGGGAGCGGGGGCGGAGGAGGCAGGTGGGAGGGCGGGAGCCGGTTGGGGTGTTGTGGGCATGTGGGGGTGAGGTGCGGGAGCGGTGGGGGATGGGCAGGGGCGGACAACGAAGCGCACGTGCAGATAAAGACAAAAATACGAGAATGCGGAGCCCTCTTGGTACTTATCGACATCCTAACTATCCCTCTCCCTCCCTTCACCCCCTTCTCCCTCCCTCCCCTCCCTCCCACCTCTGCTCCCAGACGGCTCCTCCGAGCACGTGTTCAGCCTGGTGCCGGAGCTGCCCGGCGGCCACTACGCGGGCATGTCGCACGGCCCCGCGCCCCGCGCCCCGCCCGACAGCCTGCTGCGGGTGCAGCTGGTGGGGCCGCAGGAGGCGTACTGCGCGCGGGTGCAGGACGTGCAGGTGGGGGGGTGGGGGCGGGGGAAGGGGAGGGGGTGGAGAAGGGTGGGGGGGGGGAGGCGGGAGAGGAGTGGGAATGCAGGAGAGGTGTCGAAAGGCGGGGATGGAAAGGCGGCGGCGAGGTGGGGAGGCGAGAGTGGGGTGGGGATAGGGAGAGGGAGTAACGGAAACCCTAGGCTAGGCGTGAGCACAGCTGCCGTAGGGATGTGGGGGTTGGAGGCGTGTTTCAGGGAGTGGGGAACGGAGGTGGTCCTGCTGCTGATGGGGATGCGGAGGGCAGGACGGTAAAGAAGGAATGAACTGCCCTGCGGCCCAGACGTTACATACAATAACCCATCCGGCACCCACCCAACGAGCAGAAGCCACTTAATGCCATGTCCCGCTCCCTTTTCCCCTTCCTTCCCTCCCCTCCTCCTCCCGTCCCGTCGCTCAGGCGTACGGCGAGGTAAACCGCGAGGTGGCCGACCCAGGGGTCGCTCTGAAGCTGGCGGGTCTGCGCCCGGGTCGCTGCGACAACATCGTGCCGGCCTCGGTGACGCTGGGCAACAAGGCGACTGTGGGCGCGGCGTGCATCCTGGGGGAGGGGTGCGCGGTGGGGGACAAGAGCTCCATCAAGCGATCCGTGCTGGGGCAGGGGTGCAAGTGAGTGGCTGGGGGGGGATTATATAATAAGTGCAAACAACTAAAGTCCCAATCCCATAGCCCGACTCATGCAGTGAGTGCATTCGGAGACATTTACCTAGAAACACGCAAAGAAATATAACGTACCGGCTGGGGGGGGGGTAAGAAATAGTGAGGGTGGGGTTGACGGTAGGGATGTGGGTAAGGGTGCGGGCGGTGGCTGGGGTGTCCCCTGAGCGGAGCGGGCCGCTCGCAGGCGTGGTGCGGCAGGGTGGGCTGGCGGTATGGTTGACGCGGTGCGAGCCGCCGACTCCACCGACAGCCTTCTCCTAGTTCCCATCACTGCCACATCCCTGGGGTGACGCCCCACCTCCACCTCACCCCCCCCTCTCCACCCCTCCACCCCCTCTCCACCTCACTCCCCTCCCTACCCCTCCACACACCCCCTCCCCTCCCCCCCAGGCTGGGTCTCAACGTCAAGGTGATCAACTCGGTGCTGATGGACGGCGTGACGCTGGGCGACGGAGCGCACGTGCAGAACAGCGTGCTGTGCCGGGGGGCGGCGGTGCAGGCGGGGGCCACCCTCAAGGACTGCCAGGTGGGGCGGAAGGGAGGGGGGGTGTAGGGGTAACAAACTAACAATGGGTAGGGTCGAGGGGTTTGGGCCCATTTAGTAAAGGGTAGGGTTGGGCTTCTCATCGCGCCTACCCTGTGTCGTGTCTAACCGGAATATGGAGAGCCTCCTGGCCACTAGGCTCCGCTCAGCCCTCTCCTGGGCCCAAAAATAGTAGGGCAAAGGGGCAACGTGCTTTGCTCAAAGCCCCAGCATGCCATTTGCCGGTTGCCTCGTATGTCGCCTGTCGCTTCTGCCCCGCCCTTACCCCCTCTCCTTCGCCTATACCTCCCTCTGTCACCGTCCCCATTGCCTCCGGTTGCCTCCCTTATCGTCACCAGAACGTGGTCTGCTCATTTTCGTCCACCCCTTCCCCCGCTTCACCTCTTCATCTTTACCCTCCTCACCCTCCCCGCTTCCTCCCTGCAACTAACTTTTTTGTTTCTTGGCAAACTGCTTCCCATCTATCCTCATTGCTTTGCCCTAACCCGTGGTTTTGGTAAATCTCTGGGCCCCCTCCCTCTATCCAGGTGGGTGCTGGCTACACGGTGGCGGGCGGAGTGGAGTACAAGGGGGAGATGTTGGCGGCCAGCAAGGGGGCGCCGCGGTGACTGCTGCTGCAAGGGGGCCGCAACTGCTGCTGCTGCGGGGGAGGAGGCGAGGGAGAGGAGGAGGAGGAGGCGTTGTTGTTGGGGGGTGGAGCAGCGGGGCAGCAGGCGGTCAATTTCTGGGGCAAAGGCATGACCCATGGGTCAGGACTTGGTTGCCAGCGTGTTTTAAGGCGTGTTTAGGGGGTGTTGGTGGTGGTGGGGCGGGGGAGGGTGAGGTGTGTCAGGGGCTGTGGGAGGCATTAGGAAGCAGGCGCTAGGGAGGGGTGTGCGGGAAGCGTGGGGCGGCACTAAGGAGGGAGGGGGGCACACAGGGAAGCTCGAAGGGCGGTGGAGTGGCAGAGCGGCGTCATGGGTGATGCGCTGGTGCCATAGCAATGTCGTGCAGTAGGTAGGAGGACGCGCTTTAAGGCGCACGATCATGGCTCAATCAGCCGGGGATGCTGTGCATTGTCAGCCGGGATTGCCAGGGAGGAGGCAGGGATAGCGGCCGCATCGCCGGTGTGTTCCGTTGGGAGGCGCGCAGCGTGTGAAGGCATGGGTCCATTTTCGGAGCTAGGGGTGAAACGGAGAAACCACATCGGTTGCAGGCTTGCGGTGGCCATAATGGCTATTGGTTTGGGCAGGCAAGATTTTGGACCGGAGGAATGCAGGGCTTGTAACCTCTGTTGAACCTCCGCAAGAAAGGGCGGCCGCTTGCAGGCGCTGGCGCAGGTGCATGTCACGCAGTAGTCGACACGCTGCCAGATAGGGCTGTTCGCACATTCCGCCTTTGCACATCGGCAGAAGATTAGGAGACGCAAGGACTGCTACAAGCCTACAACTCTCTTAGAGAAGGAAGCAAGCTGATACAAACCTACGTTGTGACGACTACAGTTTGTCTTCCTACAAGCTGTCATCCTTGAGTGATTGCAAGATTGCAACAGCTGACATACGAAGTTCCGGAGCCAGTTGTTGCTTGCTAGCCTGCTTGGGTGCTTGCCTCGAATGCAAGGAACGAAACCTCCTGCGGGGGCACGGCATGTAACCGCTACTACAACGTTCCACATCTTAGCATTGCTAGGTTGCAGTGCGAAGGTAGCGGTAGCAGGAAATGATGCCTCCTATTGTTACACCAATATGATTCATTAAATTATATCGGCAAGTCGAATATTTCCTCAAGTATTCCACTTCAATCGCTTTGGGATGCTGGAACCAAGCGGGGAGACCGGTGTTGTGCACAAGTCAGCACACCCGAGCCTCCCTCCCGCAGCACCAGAGCAGGTACAATATAATTATATAGTATCTAATTGCGACAAAATTATGTGCTGATCTGGCGCGACCCGGCTAACTCCTGGGGATGTCGCAACATCGCGTGACGCAGGTGGTGCAGTACCTGCTCGCCAAGAACTATCACCTCACGGCGCTAGAGTTGCTGGTGGAGGCGCAGCAGGCCGGACACGGCGATGACCTGCGCGACCTGCAGGTGGGTTTGCGCTGAGGAGGGGGGCGGGTTTCCGCTGAAGGAGGGTGGTGGTGGGGCCGAGTTGAACTGCTGTAGGGGCCGTTTCGTGCGGTCATGGGGGACACAGCGCGTAGGGCATCTACATACTCAGCCGGCCCTAGGGCATCAGCACCAATCATCACAGCAGCAACACCCCGCGCAAGCAGGCAGGGTGGGGCCGTCTACCCCGCACTCTCGGTTGATGCTGCAAGGCGCTAGACGCCGAGCGTAGCGAGAGGGATAAGCAGGCGAGAGGGATAAGCAGGCGAGAGGTAAGTGCGGGCCCTAGCCTAGGCGCTTGATCCTCTTAAGATCTGTACTAATTCGCGTTTTGGGCCCTCCCCTCCTCGTTTCCTCGCAGGCATTCTTTTCCGACCCCGACCGCTTCCCACCCGATGAGCTGGCCCGTCACCAGCCCGGGAATGGTGGGTGGGCGGGAGGGGACGGAAGGACTTGCCTCGCCTCTTGGTTGCGGTTCGAACGGCTTGAAGGGCGCCCCGCCTGTTGTGTTGTGCGGCAGCCTGTCCAGCGAGCGGCCACACGCCCCCCGCAGGATTCGCTGCTGCCTCCCACCTCCCACCTTTCCATTCCGATGCATCACGTGCACACCAACGCAACATCTGCCCCTGCTGCTCCCTCCCCTCAGCTCTGGAGTTGCAGGCAGCGGGGAGGGAGCGCGAATCGCGGCTGCAGCTGGCAGAGTACGAGTTGAGGCTGGCGAAGGTGGAGGGGAGGGGCAGGGGAGAGGGCAAGGGAGGTGTGGACAAGCAGGGGTTGGGGACCCGCGCATCGCCGCATGCAGGCACCAGACGCTTCCTGTGGTACTCCCTGCGGCACTCCCCCCGTACCCTTCTCCCCCAGGTTGGCGGCTTAGGCACCTCCCCCTCGGGTCGTCTCGCTCCCACACTCACTCACCACCACCCCACCAATACCGCTGCCCTACTGCCCCTCCCTGCACCACCCCCCCACCACCCCGCAGGAGGACCTGGCGGAGATGTCTCGCAAGCTAGCAGCGGCGCAGCAGCAGGCGGCGGAGGCAGCGGAGCGGCAGCAGCAGCAGCAGGCGGCCTCACCCATGTTGCAGCCCTCGCTCAGCGGTGCGCCACCCAGCGCCGCCGTTGCCAACAGCATCAGCCCCGCCGCCCGCTCAACTGCGCTGCACCCCTCGCCCGCCCGCTCGCCCCACGTCGCTGGATCCGGGGGGCTGCCCTCCGCCGCGGAGCAGCAGGTGGGTCTGGGTGGCTGGGCTAGCGCACCCGGCCGAGCGAGCATTTATGGCAGCCGCTGGCCCTTCGCCCCCCCCCTGCCGTCAGGGTTGTTGAGCGCTCGTGCGTCTTTGCAGTCTTGTATCTTCACCCCCTTCCTGGCCCGGCACTACACCTCCCAAGCAGTGCTGCTGCGGACCCTTGCTGCATGCGCCCCTGCTCTCACTCCCTTCAATAGCTCCCGCTCCACCCTTCCGCTCCACCCCCACCCCACCTCCGCTTTCCGCCTTCCCTCAGGCCCTCAACGAGGCCGTGTTCGCGCATCTGCAGCGGCAGGGACTGATCACCACCGCCATGACCATGGAGGAGGAGTACGGCGGCCCACTGCGGCCGCAAGCAGGACAAGGGCAGAGCCCGGGCGGCGTGATGACCCATGGGTCACCTCACGTCGCCTCTGCGGACGCAGTCGCCGCAGATCAGTGGGAGCTCTGGCGGTGGTATCAGGCGGCCGTGAGGGAGGCGAGCGGTGTGGGCTTTGACTACAGCTCAGCCGCCATGTCGCTCGCCTTGTCCCCGGCAGTCAGCGCGGGGGGAGCCGAGGGCGTGACAGCGGCGGCAGCAGTTGGGGGTGCGGGTGGAGGAGACGTGCTGGGGCCGGAGTTGGGCAGTTTGATGAATCTGGATCTGGATTCAATAGGTCTGGAGGAGCTGTTGCTAGAGGGTGGCGGTGGTGGTGGTGGGGATGGTGGTGGTGGTACGGCGGTTGCGGATGGTGCCCAGGAGGAGGGCGCCCCGCGTTCGTCCGCAGAGCTGAAGGGCCGGTTGCTGGCGGCCAGGGAGCGATTGGTGGCGGCGGCGGAGCAAGTGAAGAAGGCGGCGGCGGTGGTGGCCAGACAGCAACAGCAGCAGCAGCAGGTGTTGCGGAGTCCGCTGCCGCCGCCGCCTTCCCCCGCGCCACCGCAGTTTGGCCCCAGCGACCCCGCACTGAGGGAGCTGCTGGGTGAGTTTAGGTGGGGGGCAGAGGGGACTGGGGCTGCCTGCCGGCCAGCTGGTAATGTGGTGCTTACGGTCTACCGGCATCGCACGGAGTTGGGATGTCCGTGCTGGGGAGGTGTAAGTGCTGGACTAAACCCGGGCCGGGACCTTTCTTCTTTCCCTTTCTTTGCATGCCCTGTTCCTGTCACCTTCAAGCTGTTCCGCCCTGCTCTCCTCCGCTCCTCACCCTCCTCCTTCCTCCAGAACTCTCCGCACCCGCCACCCGCCCCGGCAGCAGCAGCACCGCATCCACCACCACCACTACCACAGCATCAGCTGCCGCCTTCGGCTCCCCGGCGGAGGAGCAGCCCCTGTCGTCCACACCCACCACCACCACTACCGCCGCAGCGGAACCACCTGCTCCAGACGGCTCTTTCCCTGCAGCCGCCGCCTCGTCATTGCAGACCCACGGGTCACTCGCTGCTGCGACCCGCCCTCCTCCGCCGCCCGCCCCCATCGACCCCGCCTACCACGCCTCCCTGGAGTCCCTGCGGTCCCAGCTGGCCGAGGCGCTGCCGCGGCTGCTGCCCGGCCTGACGCTGAGGAGCAGGCTGGAGGTGCTGCCGCTGCTGGAGGTGCGTTCGTGCGGGGAGTCAAGAGGAAACAACTGAGTGACCGGGGGGGGCCGGGGGGGAGAGGGGGGGTAGAAGAGGCAACTGATGAGCTGCATGACGAGGCTTCACCATGGGGTGCTACATTAGACCCGGACCGGGGGGGGGGCTTAGGGAAGGCAGGGGAGGCAGGGAGGAAGCCATGAGGGGGGGAGGGAGCCGTGTGTTCCTGCCCGCCTGATGGCTAGTGGGGAGAGGGCTAGGAGGGAGAGGGTGCGTACTGCGCTTACTGCGGAGCCATACACGTCAGGGCGTTTAAGAGCGGTGGTGCGGGAGGGGGCTTTACAGAGGACTGTGCCCCTAGGGAGACATCATGCCGGCCCTCCTAGGCCGCACAACCCTCCTCTGGCTGGTGTACTGTCGTTCGGTTACTGTCGTCCTCTCTGTCTTCCAGCCTGTCATTCCCCTACCTCCCACGTCCCACCCCCCAGTCCGCCGCGCGTGTGAGTCCCGACTGGGAGGTGCGGCGGCAGCTGCTGGCGGCCGCCTTCAACGCAGTGCCCGCACCCGACCCGCAGCAGAGACAGGTGAGAGGGGTGCAGGGTTGCTGGGGGGGGGGAAAGAGGGTGCTGTGTATGGGGAGGGAAAGGGCGCGTGAGACAGCAGGCGTTTGGGGCTAGAGGCTGCCCGCACGAGCATGGAAACAACGCACCAGCGTCCCTCAGCTGCTGATGCTTTCACTACGGGTTGCCACTATCGGAGAAGACGGAGGAGCAGCAGCAGCAGCGGAGGTGATGGGGAGAGTGGCGGGGATGTGGATGGAATGGAAGAGTGAAGGGAGGATTGGGTATTGGGTTTTGATGGGTCGTGGTTACAAAAGGTAGTTGGCGGGGCGACTGCTGAGGGGAGGACGGGACGGGGGGGCATGCGAGGGATGGTCGCAATGTCGCAGGTTGCAAAGTAAGGTGCCACCCAGGGTTTGCAGCAGGCTGAAGACGACGTAGCAACAACGGATGTGGTAGCAGTAGCAGTAGCCGCAGGATCAATGGGGACTTTGTTTGCAGAGAGCTGTCCGCCAGAAAGCTGATCAGGCAGGAACGTGTATCCCAAGTTGGGTTAGGAAATTAGGAAGAGGGTTAGTTATGGACGCATACATGAGCGGCATATGAACGTGGCTTTTTCCTTCATCCTGAACCCTCTCCCCCCTCCCTCTTTCCCCCCCTCCCTCAGGCCATCCTGGACTGCTGCCTGCAGCTCTGCCGCCACTTCGGCCCCGCCTGGGCGGCTGCCGAGCTGCTGCCACTGGCCTCCCGCGCCGCCGGACAGCCCTCCGCGGAGCGCCGCACGCTGGTTGCGGAGGTGCTGGGCGCCGCGGCTGCGGGCGGGGCGGTGGAGGCGGTGGAGGCGGGCAGCCAGGCGCACGCACTGGTGGCGCAGCTGGCGCAACTGGCTCGGGACCGCATGGAGCAGGTGGGGGGGGTGGGGGCCGGGATTGCCGTGTGCAGGTGTGTGTGTGTGTGGTAGCTGGGCGGGTGAGATAGGTTGCCACTTACTAGAAGGGGGCTGCAGCAGTGAAGGGGGCTGCGCATGTTGAAAGTAGTCCTCTCTCAGTGGGAGCTCCCTGCAGCGCCTCGGGAGTCCTCTGCCGCCTCGTCCTCTCCACTCACCCACCACCCACCACCCAAGCCCCCCTCCCTTCACCGCCGCAGGTTCGCGAGGCGGCCTGTCGCAGCCTTGCCCAGCTGGCCCCCCGGCTGCCCTTCTCCCGCTCCTACTCCGCCACCCTGGAGTCGCTGCTGCTGGCACTCGCCACCGACCCCGCAGAGCCCGTGGCGCAGGCGGCGCTGCGGCAGCTGGTGCCGGCGCTGCTGGGCTGCTGGCAGCCCCCCGCAGCGCACCCCACCGACGGCGAGTGCGTGCTGGTGTCGTCCGTGCTGGCCCGCGTCATGTCGGACATCGGGAGGCATGTACGGCATATCACGGAGCAGCAGCAGCAGCTGCTGGTGGTGCAGCAGCAGCAGCAGAAGGCGGCAGCGGATGCGGCAGCAGCGGCGGCGAACGCAGTCGGCAGCAGTGGTGGAGGGTTTGCCGGTTCCATCCTGCGTTACGGTCTGGCCGGAGTCACACACCAGCAGCAGCAGCAGCCACCTCCTGCAGCAGCGGCAGCACCGCCCTCCACAACGACCACACCAACACCCTCCGACGGCGGCAGCGGCAGCGGCGGCAGTCTCCCTTCTGGCATGCCGCCGCAGCAACGCAGCCCCGCCCCGCCACTACCGCCCCCTCGCAGCCCCGCTCACCCCCTGCTGCCGCACCAACACCCGCCCACCTCCCAGTCACCACCCGCCGCTGCCCCCCAGCCCGTATTGTACGGCCGCCGTACCTTCCCCTCCGCGTCCCACCTGGCGCTGCAGCAGCTGCTGGGGCTGCTGGCGGCGCTGGCGCCCGCACTGAGACACGCGGCGGTGGGGGGGGGGGGAGAAGAATACCCATTGTGTTGTGTTGGGTGGCCGGAGAGGGGGTTCCGGGTTGCATGGAGGCAGGGGCGGGGTGGTGATGGGGGAGGAGAGGCATCGTGTTGTGGACATGGGGTGTGATGATGGGAGGGGATGCGGAGGTCAGGGATGGAGGAAGGCCTGGAGTGCAGGGAGAGTAGAGAGATGGGCGGATGTGCGCGCAGGTTTAGGGCTCGCTTCAACAGGGGATTGTGGTCGAGCTAGGCCGCAGGGCTGCGAAAGGCCCAAACATGCGTCACACTAGTTCACTTGCCTCTTGACTTCTCTTGCTTTCCAACACGCCCCACCCAACCCATCCTCGCCTCCACCCCCTCCCCCCTTGCAGCTCTGCAACCGGCCGGCCTGGGCCTCAGCGCCCCTGCCCACCTCCGTCCCGCACTCCTCCCTCCCAGCCAGGCCCCTACCCGCTGCCCCCACCTCCACCTCCACCTCCCGCCACCACCGCTCCGGCAGCGCTGCTGCCGCCCCCGTCACCGCGCTGCCCCGCACCACCGGCTCCGCAGGCGACCTCCCCTCCGCAGCCAACGCCACCACCGCCACCTCCGCCACCACCACTGCTGCCAGCCCCCATACCTCCCCGGGAGCAGCCCGCCAGGGAGCCGGGCTGCTGCAGCTGCCCTCTCATGCAGCTGCTGCTACCGGCGGCCACCGGCGCTCCAGCTCACACCCGGCACTGCCCTCCTCCGCCTCTGCCGGCAGCAGCACCCGACCGCACCCGCAGCACCAGCAGTCACCGGTGTTGTCCGCGCTGACGCTGCTGCGGGACACACCACGGCCACCGGGGGAGACTCCGCCACCACCACCACCACCGCAGCAGCAGCAGACGGAGGCGGAGGCGGAGGCGGGGGGGTTGCGGAGGCGGGTGTCAGGGGCGATCAGCGAGGTGGATGGAGTGTCGGTGGTGTCGGCCTCCGAGGAGGGAGGAGAGGCGTCGCAAGCGGAGGCTGCAAGCCGGGAGGGTGGAGAGGCTGAGGGCGGGGAGGGGGAGGGCGCTGCGCGTGCGGAGGAGGACGCGGTGCTGGGCATGTGGGCGGAGCACCCGGCGCATGAGAGCTGGAAGACGCTGGAGTGGGTGATGCAGGTGGGGGAGGAGAGGGAGGGAGGGAGGGTGGCTGCTAGGGGAAGAAGAAAGAGGGATTGTATGGGCTTCGACGCGCAGGCTTCCAACGACACCGCAGCCATTATCTACTCCATGGCCTCCTCCTTTCAGCACTCGGCTTGTTCTCCACCACTACCACTCGTGTATCGCCCCCATGTCTGCCCCACCTCCCCCGCCTCCCCACCCAGCTTGTGGTGCCGGAGCTGCTGCGTGTGTGCGGCTGCTTGGGCCCACCAGCAGTCACGACAGCAGCAGCAGCGGGGGGTGGGGAGGTGCTGGAGGTGCGGCGGGCGGCGGCGGGAGCGGTGGAGGCGCTGTGCGAGGCCTTGGGTGAGCGGTGGGCGCGGGGAGGAGCAGTGTTGCTTGTGAGGGGTGGGGCAAGGGGCTGGAGGCCGGCTGTCCTTCTTTTTGGGATCTCCCTGCGGCCGGCTGTCATCTGGCGAGTACCGGTGGCGGCGAGTACCGGTCGCTGGGTGGCGGGGTGTGTGATGCAGTGTTGTATCGCAGTACCTCACTCACTCACACCGCCAGCAAGCAAGCAATCCCACGCCCGCAGGACAGCGTCTACCCGCTTCAACTCCCGCTACATGCATGCTGACCTACGCATGCATGTCCACGCACGCGCATATACACATTCCGTTGAGCAGCCCCTTGCTTCCTCCCTCCCCCTCCCTCCAGGCGCTCTCTTCACCCGCACCGCCATCCTGCCAGTCTTCCTGGCGGCCTCCGGCACAGCCGCGGAGCTCACAGCGGCAGGGGTCGTCATCAGCGGCGGCGGCGGCGGCGGCGGTGGCACCTCGATTGGTGACGTCATCGTGCCGCTCGCCGTACAGGACGTGGTGGCCGCTTGGCAGCCCCGGCAGCCCGAGGCGCTGCGCACAGCCCGGTGCGCATCCAACTCCCGCCTGACGTCGCTTGGCGTTAACGCGCCCTTCTTCTAGCGGGCCTTTGACACGCATGCGGTTAAACCCCTTGCATATCCTTCCCTCGCCGCACGGTTTTCTATCCTTAGATACTTTCCTTCTGTCCTTTCTGCTCACCCCGCTTCCGGCCCCCGCAACCCGCACCCCCACCCCGCACCCCCTGCAGGCAGTGCGTGCTGCCGGTGCTGCTGGCGTCGGTGCTTCCGGCGTGCGGGCAGCTGGAGGGGCACCTGGAGGGGCTGATGGGGGCCGCGCATGAGATGCGGCACCGCTGGCTGATGGGGGCGCTGCAGGTGGGGCAGGGGGGGAGGCAACTGGCAAGCTGGGTAACAGGGCTTGGGGTGCAAACATGGTAGCCTACCTACCGGTATGCCGCCGGGAAGAGGAGGAGGAGAGAGATCCCCGTTGGGCCCGAGATGAGGGAGGGAGGGAGGGAGGGGCATGGCAAGCGCATGCAGCTGGAGGACTAGGGGGTCCAACAGCAGGCGCGCAGGCGGCCGGGCGCCGTGAGGGCGGCGGGCCGCCGCAGCCCCCAATCCACCTCCTCAACCATGGCACTTGTAGGCACCTGTCTGCTTCCACTCACATCACTACACCCATCAACGCCCTCTCTCTCTCCCTCCCTGTCCTCCCACTCCCACCCATCCCCCCGCCCGCCAACCACTGCAGGACTACACGGCAGCCCTCACCCTGGCCTGCGTGCTGCGCCCCGCCCTGCTGGCCCCGCTGCTGCGGCTCTTTGAGGACCTGCTCTCGGGCGCCAGCACCGCACGCATGCAGCTGCACGCGCGCAACCAGGCCACACGAACCCCCAACGGAACCGACGGCGGCGGCGCCGGTGGCAGCGGCAGCGGCAGGGGCACTCCCACAGCCGCCCTGGCCCCAGCGGCAGCCGCCGCCCCAGCCGGTCCCGCCAGCACCGCCGTGGGGCTGTGTTGTACGGCACTGGCGAGGTCGTTAGTACCGTTGGCCACGTTGGAAATGGCGAGTCGGCGGTTGCTGCCGGGCCTGATGGCGCTCATGTCGTACGGCGAGCCGGAACTGCAGCGCGCCTGCGTGGGGGTGCTGGCAGAGCTGGGGTTAAGGTTCCGGGGTGACGGGCCGCGGGTTTCGGAGCAGGTGCTGGCGGTGTACGACAGTCTGTTGGAGCAGGGCAGTCATGCCGTACAGCTGGAGGTATTGGCGGCGGGTACGGCGCTGGCGGCGGCGGCAGCACCCTCGGCGGCGGTGTCTGCGGCTGCTGCGGCGCAGGTGGAGTGGCTGCTGATGGCGGTGCAGTCCACGGCAATGCGGCTGGCGGCGGCGGCGGCATCTCCTGGCGGCGGTGCCACCCCCGAGCAGCTGCGTTCGGTGGCTGCGCAGCTGCTGGCGGCAATGAAGACAGTGGTGCCACACGACCTGCGGCTGCCGCGATTGCAGGTGCGGAGGAGAGGGGGCGCAGGCGTCTTGGAGTTCTCGTGTTGTGTTGCTGGGGGAACTTACCGTGCCTGTGGGTGCCTTCGCCGCCGGTAGGGAACGTCGCAGTGAACAGCTCTTTCGATGCATCCTCTCCTGGTACCGAAATGGCTTCCTTTGACTACCGCCTCGGTACCGCCTCTTTCCTACCCTTGACTCTCCTCCTTGCTACCTTGCTGGCTCCCAACAGACAAACGTTGCCTCTGCACTGGACGCTCTTGCTCGCTGCAAGACCCTCCTACCCGACCCGCAGCAACAAGCAGCCCTGGCAGCACTGCTCAAGGAGCGACCCACGGGTCAGTCCACCGCCGGGCCCTCCATCTCCTCCACTTCCACCTCTGCACCTCCACCACCAACCAGCAACCCCGCTGTTGCGCCCTCCGTCGCCTCCTTCACCCCTCTACGGCTGCACCCTCAGCCCTCACCCGCCGCGTCACCCCTCGCCTCCCTTGCCGGCAGCCTGACCATGGGGTCTGCAGTGCTGCCACTGCCGCCGGGCGGCGCCCTCCATCAGCCTCACCCGCAGCCGCACCTGCCGGCCTCTCCTGCGGGGGCAGCAGCGGGCAGTGCGCATGCGGAGGGGCAGCAGGGGGGTGCTGGCGGGGGACAGCTGCGCAGCCGCTTTGATGCCTTCAAGCTGAGGTTAATGAAGCGCAAGGACGAGCCGGCGGCGGCTCCCCAGCAGCATCAGCAGCCGGGGGGTTCGGATGCCGGGGGGCGACCAAAGGATAACTTCTTCAGTGACGATGAGGGCGAATAAATTGCTTGTTTCGGCATGTACGACATAATTTGCAGATGCTGGCAATGGTTATAACGGATATTGGTCTAGGCCGTCTTGAGGAGCCTAAATGGGGAATGCCGAATAGCGCCGGCGGGGTTGCATGGCGGTCAGGTTCTGTTTAAAACCTGTTGACCAAAGTTGGTAAGAACGATGTATACACAACTTTTAATGCATCTTATGGGTTCTCCCGCAGACTACATGCGACTGATGCCCCCGGGCTGTTGCTTCATTCCCCACTATACCTCTCACCAATACTTCAACTGGAGGACAACATGCAGGTAGACCGGTATGTAAAACTGAGTCCTACTTGCTTGCGGCATCCGCTGTGTCCACTGCCACTGCAGCCGGCTAGCAGGGCCCCTGTGTGTGCTCCATGGCTTCACGCCTCCTTTAGGCGCATTGCTGACAGGGTGCAAGCCTGCCAGGAGACAGCAGCCCTTACGGCAAGTGGAATGACAACCATTGCACACTTGTTTAATGAGTTCGGCGCATACTACCGTTGATGTGGGGTTCTCACCCAATCCAATATCAGCTGCACTCGCTCTTCTGGCGGATCCACGGTACAGGCCTCCTCTGTCAGCACCCTGCCTCACCCGCCCATTCCTCTTATGCAACCAGGCTAGCTACGTCTAGCTCCTGGGGTGCATAGCCGACACCATCGCCTACTTTCACCACTCTAAGGCGTCCCTCCATATGTAAGAATGGAGGGGTAAGGGGGTGGAACATAGCCTAAACATAGATGTCACGACGCCTATTGCAGCCACCAATGCGAACTCATCACCCCTGCAATCCACATCATCCTCCTTGCCTCCCTCCGGATGCTCGACCTCCCTTAACCCCCGCCACAATACCCTAACCTAGTGCAGCAAACCCTTAGTCCTCATACAAAAGAACAGCAACAACAACCCACAAACCGTATGGCTCATTATTTATGGCTCTTAGAGCGGCTCCATCTGCGGAAAGACCAACTTGTCCTGCAGCGCCAGCAGCCGCCTCAGCCCGATGCCGCCTGCACTCGGCTCCCAGGCGCCGTCCCATGCATGCTGTGGACGGCCTGTGTGGTGGGGCAAAGATGCGAGAGCCCAGGGGTTTGGGAGAAAGAAGGCTCCATTGGGGGACAGGTTGTCGGGACAGTACTCCGGGATGTCAGCTCATTAGGTACCGACCGGGCCCATTAGGTCACGTGTGCAGCACGCACGCCTCTCCAATTCGCGCTGTCCATCGTGAGATCACGTCTTCGGCAGGGGGCTACGCCCCCATCCAGCTCTGAATAAGCTCACACTCGAGAACCCATTCGATTTGCCATCATGTATGTTATAATCTTATAAAGAAGTCTAAGAACGACGTATGCCTGTATCTACTCTGTAGTTGCCTTGATAGCTCTCCAACGTTCGCGCAAGGCCGAATCGTACACCATTCGTAAGCGGCAGTTGCTTGCAGCTCGTATACCTATCAGGACAAAACAGGCTATACACAGCCAAGTTGCCATGCAGAGTCGTCCAGCCTTTATCCTGAACTGATAGCTAACAAATTAGGACCGCCAGCGAACGTATTCAGCTGCTATCATCGCGACGACGTGCGGACGACTGTCGATACCCATTCTTCCAGCAGCCAGGCACTTGAAAACTTACTAATCCCAGACATTCACAGCGCCTTGAACTAAGCACCCGAGATGGCTCTTGACGCGGGCGTCATATCGATGACAATTGAGTTCGCCAAGGACCTAAAGGACGTCGAGTGGTTTGGCAGGTGAGCCCCGGGGCGCTAGCAGCCGAGGATTCTTAATGAAAGCTTGCCGGTATCCATCTAAGGCCCATGTACACTTGTTCACCGGAGAATTGCACCATAAAGCTACTGTCTAAACAAGCTCAGGGAATCAAGCATCATATATCTTCATGTGCCAGGATTATGTTCCACAAAGTCTCCACATCGAGTTGTCTTATCATTGTTATTGTTTCATCCTAACAAGCCGCATGTTTGTGTCGCAAACTCCGTTTACGGCTTCTGCAGGATGGACCCCTACTGCATCGTACGAATCGGCAACCAGCGCTTCCGCACGCGCACCGCGGAGGACGCGGGCCGTGACCCGGTGTGGAACGAGACTTTCCAGGCCAACATAGTGAGCGAGAACGATGTGGAGGTGGAAATCAAGGTGGGTTGGCCGACCCGCAGGGTCGGGGTCGGGGTCGGGGTCGGGACCTGTACTGCCGCTTCACAGGGAAACCCAGGCATGCAAGTGGTAGCATGCACGGCATGCAGGTAGGAACTGTGCATTGTAGGTTTATCATGGCGGTTGCTTCCTTCACCGGCGAGCTTTGGATGACAAGTACAATGCGACAATGCAGTCACGACCCATGGGTCACTTCCTCGCATTCAGGATAACAACGTGGGCCTGGATGATACCATCGGCATCGCCTCCTTCAACCTCGGCCGAGCCCGGGAGTACGGCAACGACCGGCTGGAGGTGCCCGTCCTCAGCCCCCGGCACCGCACCCAGCACGGCTACCTCTCCGTATCCCTCAACTGGCAGCCGCAGCCAGCGGGATACGTGCCCCAGACAGCAGGCATGTACGGCACGGAGATGTACGGCATGCAGCAGCAGCCCATGGGCTACATGCCACCCATGCCGCAGCCGCAGCCTGGGTACTATGAGGGCGGCATGGCGCCGCCGCCGGCCGTGTACTACCCGCCGGCTGCTGGCCCGCAGGTCGTGGAGGAGGTCACGGTGATAGAGGAGTATCCGGCCCAGCACCACCACCACCACCACCACCATCACCGCGAGCCGGAGGTGATTGAGGAGGTGATTTACGAGAGGTACTGAGGTCTGTGGGATCGAGTTGGTTTGGGGCTTGGGGTCGCTGATTTGCTTATGGCATGCCGTACCACTTTCCCTGGTTGTAAGATGTGTTTTTGCGGAACGTTGTGCTCTTGTTGTCTAAGCCGTGAGTAGGGAAGGCGTTGGGTAGCATGTTTTGTTACGGTATGCAGGAACGGAAACCTGGGGGGATGCTGCTTATGCGGCCACTTCACCCATGCAGCGTGGTAGGCGGGTAGGCATGTCGAGTCACACCAATGGGGCGGTGCCGTAGGGAAGAGCAGCCCCAAGGGCGGTGTAGCGGGCGGGGGCTGCTGCGCAAACGTCGCAGCGGGCTTTACGGTGCCCGCGTGACGGGCTCTGGCGGGATAGTGACGAAGTTGTTGCTATGACAACGTTCGGCTCGCTAGGCTGGCCTGCTGCTGTTTTTTATCATGGCATAAGTGCTTCACTGGCAGTGTTTGACTCTTACAGTACATCCCTGAACAACGCGTGTTTGTCATGCATGGCCAAGGGATGCATGACGGAAGTGCTAGGGGCTCTTTGCAAGACAGACAGTGTTGTTGCGGAGGGCTGTTGGATGTGGCCATGGCTCATGGCCGTTGTACTGAATGGTTAGTTAGGGAAGGGGGTGGAGGTTATTGGGAAGGATACACTGATGACAGCGTGGGCTGCTCGACATACCGGTATCTTCAGCGGCATGGGCTGTTGGGGTTTCAATATCGGTATCAACGGAGGCAGGCAGGGAAACTGTCTGTTTGTAACACCCGCTGCTGCTGCTCTGGACACCGTATACTTGAACATGTAGTATCACCTACCTCAGGCGCTCTGGAGTGAGGTGACAAGTGCACAATGCCGCTCAGTCAGTCCATAAGGTTTGGCCCCTTCCATAAAGAACGTTAGACCTGCATCCATGTTCAACCCGCTGTACCGCTAGCGGGAGTGCCAGGCCACAGCCTGCCCCGCACCGACTACACCGCTAGGCTGTCACTCCACCATCGTTCACCTCGGGTCGGGGCTTGCCCGGCGTAGTAAATCGCGGCTTCTCCAGTGCCCCGCTTCTTTCCCCATGCCCGCTCTTTCCAACACACCTGCGGTCATGCATGCGATGTCGCTATCCCTCCCTCCACCGCTGGCATTCCTCCCACAGGGCCCTCCCGTCCCGCAGCTCGGGAACCTCTGCTGCCGGCGGACACTGCGGGGCCCCGGCAGCCGCCGTGAACAGCAGCGCCCGACGTGCCTGCGCCAGGAAGGGGGGAGGAATGAGTGAGGAGGCTGACACGACCGGTGGGTGAGGCCTCGCAATAGGCCTGTACGGAGGAGCAGCAGGCTGTGTAGGGTGTGCAAAGGAGCAAGAGAGGAGGAAAGCCGCATAGGCGGAACTGCTGCCATCGGGGTGTCTTGGGCAGTCGACGACGTGCAACACGTACACAGCTTGACACGCACCTGCATGCCACCTTTCAGGCCTCTCCCCAACGCCCTTCACCCGGTCCCACCCGGTCTCACCCTCCTGGCTTCTGACAGCCCCTCGCAGTCGCAGTGCCCGCATCTGTAAAAGGTCCGCGGCAGCTGCTGCTGTTTATCAAGCGGCAGTTCAGCAATCTTGCCGTACAGTGCTCGCCGTACAAACTCCGGAAGCAGGTCGTAAGGCTGCTGCTCTTCCCCCTCCTCCTGAACAGCAGCTGCAGCTGCGGCTGGAGGCCGCGAGAAAGCCTGTAACACAACGCAACGCAAGGAGGGAACAATCGCGTCGAACCCACACCAGGTAAATGCAAAAGGCTACAGCGAACCGATCCCACTCCCTTCTCCTCAGTCTCCCGCACCTGCAGCACCGGAAGTGCCGAGTTGGGATTCACAACCCGAAGCAGCTCCCACCACAGGTAGCGCTGAAGCCGCAGGGAGAGCGGCACGGGGCCCTGACTGACGGCGATGACCCAGCTGCCGCCGCCGCCACAGGCACTGCTGTGGCCACCGCCACCGTTGCCGCCACCGGTACTCCCACCGCAGGCCATGCCGCTGCCGCCCTCCGCATGCCTACCTACTTCCGCCCCAGCCAACGAGCCCTGGCTGCACCTCTTGGCCCTCTTGGCCGCGGGGCCAGCAGAGTCGAAGACGGACCTGCTGCTGCTGCCGGGCTGCTGTCCCGAGGGGTGGTCCTCCGCCTGGGTATCCAGCTCCTGAGGGAAAGGGGCGGCGGTGTCGGCTGTGAAGCAGGACAGCGCTATCAGGTGTTTGGATCCATGAACGGCAGCTAGGCCCAAAACTGGAGCCCGGTGGGAAGTCGGGTATGCTTCAATGCGATGCACGCATACACAATGCCGTCCACTCCCGCCGCACCCCCACCTCTCTTACATCGCTCCACGCACCTGCAGTCCCCGCACCAGCTCCGCTAGCAGCGGCAGCGTGCGGCCGTCCCCTGTCAACCGTGCCACCAGCCGCTTGCGCCACCAGCCCATGCAGCCCTGCAGCAGCGGCCGCAACTGGAACCTGCGGTGACACGTGGGTTCATCGTGCGTTCTTGACATGACATGACACACAGCTCCGGGCCCAGCGCGACTCCCCTTGTGAACCGCACGCCTGTCACTGCCCTCTACCATGCCGCCGCCCTGTCCCCTGTGCCCCTTTCATGCGCTCGATACACACACACGCGCGCTACCACGCGCCACGCAAGCACCCTCGCTGCACCTCCCTTTCCCCCCCGCTCCACCTGCTTGAGAACAGCGCCACATCGCGCCCCGCCTCCACCTTCCCGCTCGCCAGGTGCCGCTCAGCCGCAGCCACGCATGCCCCCTGCAGCGCCACAAGCAGCTGGCAGTCCCCCGGGTCGCCGCCGCCGGCAGCAGCTGCTTGTGCGGACTCCATGACCTCCGCCATGTTGCCCGGATGCACCCCCTCGCCGGACTCAGCAGCCCTGCAAAGGAAGGAAACACTTTTTTTTCATAGAAGGGTGCGCCAAGAAAGGAGCACTAAAGGGTCAGGTATCGCTAGCAGGAGCCGCATTCTTGCTTGTGACCAGGTTCCCGTTCACCCCCACCTCTGCAACCGCCTCCTCAGCCGCCCCACCAGCTCCCCGCCCGCCGCCACCCCCGGCAGCCGCTGCATGTCCCGACCCAGCTCCAGCGCGGCGGGCAGCTGCTGCGGCGGCAGCGCGGAGCAGCACCGCTGCAGCAGGCGCACGCACTCGCGCTGCAGGGGGGCAACGCCCCAGCAGTGGGCGACCCTGGGGGCGTAGGGCGGTGGGGCGAGGAGCGAGGTGGGACGTAGGGGGCTGTAAGACGCGAGACGGATTCCGGGGTACGGTTGTACGGGTAAGGCGACGTGAAAAATACCCGGCGGCAAAAGCCGTACATCGATACCAAGGCCGTGGATTTAAGGTACCGTAGCTGCCCCTCAATAGCTACCGTGGAAAGCCACCAAACTGTCAAGCGATTCTCCGACCCCCAACCCACAACCCCACCGTGTATACGGTACGGCAGTACCTGAACAGCTGCTCCACGAAGCTCATCCCCCACCCCGGCTCCACACACGTGTTGCCCATCACCCAGGCGGCTGCAGCCGCCACGGCCCGGGGGTCGTGACCCGGCAGCGTCAGACCGCCGCCGCCCACTCCCCGCTTGCCCCCGCCTGCAGCCGCCTCCGCATCACCTTCATCGTCCGCATCATCATCTAGGGTCTCGAAGAAGCTGCGGGTGGGTTGGGGTGGCTGCCGGGTCTAATGGCAAGCATGAGGGTGTTTCGACACAGCGCAGGATCCTCATTCGCAGTGATCCCCTCCCCGCTTCGAACAGAACACGGTAAGCTGCTCTCAAACCCTAAACCCCTAACCCAGCCTCTTCCAGAAACCTCCACCCGGCTGTCTTATCCGCCCCACAAACCTCTCCCCCCTCAAACCCGCACCCACTCGTCAAACAGTGGTGAGAAGAGCGACAACGCCGCCGCCAGCACCACACACGGCCGCCCCCCCTCCGGGTGCGCGAACCGGACCTCCCGCCCCCCCAACCCCCGCCGCAGCCGCACCGCCAGCTCCCGCCGGCAGCGAGCGAGCGCCACCTCGTCCGGGTGCGGACAGGTTGCTGCGTCGGCTGTGGTTGCTGCCCGGGATCGCCGGACGACCTGGGTAGCACATGCCACACAGGTTGCACAGCAAGAAGTCTTGGTATACCGGTATGCGGAACGGGAAAGGGTTAAGAAGTGCGAAAGAGCGGAAGAGCAGGCGCACATTTAGATGCACTCGCATGCTTCAGCATGCTACAGCAATAGATGGAGGGGTGTGGGGAGAAGTGTGGGAAAGGTGTGTGCAACAGGCAGGATGCCACAAGACCTCTCTCACGCCCGCGGCCCCCACCAACCCCCCGGCACTCACCACCGGTGCCGCCCTCTGCACCCGCGCCTCCACGCCGCTCCTCACGTCCTGCAGCCCACCCGCCAGCACCACCGTGCCACATGACACCGCCCCCGCTGGTGACCGCACCGGGTGCCACCGCCGCTCATCCACACAGCCCACCTCCTCCCACCGCACCCCCTCGCCCTCGCCCGCAGCCCCTCGCAGCAACTCGACTCGGTGCAGTGTGGGGACAAAGGTACCGCCGCCTAGTGCCGCCGCGCCGCTGCCGCGCTCCCAGGCGCCGTACACGTAAAAGTACGGCAACGTGTCGTCCGCCATGGCCACTGCGCCGGCGTGGAAGGGCGGCGGCGAGGCTGCTGCAGAGTCCGGTGCGGGCAGGAGGGGTGTGCAGAGGCCGGAGGTGAGGTCTACTCGGTGAAGAAGCCAGCGGCGGGAGGGGCCGGGCGGGGGCGGGAGCGGGCGGCCGCCGTTCCTGCTGTTGCTGCCTGCTGGTTGCATGGGCGCACTAGACAGCAGGAACATGTGGCCACCCCAGATTGCGATAGCAGCCGTGTGCTGCGGATAGGGAAGCGGCGGATAGCCCGCGCTTCTGCTGCTGCTGCTGCTGCTGCGCGGTGCTGGCTGCAGCAGCAGCCTCCGCCACCGTACGCTCCTCACCTCCGCCTGACCACCACCACCACCACCGCTGCTGCCTCCAGCCGCCCCGCTGCCGCTTCCCTCGCCTCCTTCCTCTAGCCCTGCATCCCCTGCCTCCCTGCTTGCCCCAGCCGCCCCTACCGGCGACGGCGACAGCGGCGGCAGCTGCGCCCAGTAGCAGCAGGGCTGCGGGTCCGCCGCCACCTCCACCGCGGCCGGGGGCGGCCCCGGAGCCAGGTCCAGCAGCCCCTCCACACGCGGCCGCTCCGGAGCCCGGCACACGCGACCCCCGAACAGCCACACCCGCGCCCCCTCAGCATCCACCGCCATGTGGTGTCCGTACCGGGGTGAGGGCGGTGCGCAGGGGCCTCCTCCTCCCGCGCCACCTGCACCCGCCTCCTCCTCCGCTCCAGAGCCCTCCTCCTGCATGACCAGCTGCGCCTGAGGGCCGCCCAGGGCCGCCCCCGCAGCAGCCCCCGCAGCCAGCTCTAGGCTGCCCGCGGGCCCGTGCGGGTCCGGCTGCAGGCGCAACACGCGCATGATGTTGGTGGCTTCCCCGGTGGGGGAGGCGCCGCCGTGTACGAATACGTGGCTGCCGTACACGCAAGCCGCGGCGGCCTGGAAGGTCGGGGGCCATAAAGCAGCAGCAACAGCATGGCAGGATGCAATGTCAGGAGGGCCGCGGGGGCAGTAAGGCTGTGTTGGCCGAGCGCAACAGGAGCGGTCCTGAGGTCTGACGCCAGGCACCCCGGCTTACCTCCAAGGGTCGCCAAGCTCCCCGGATCTCCCTGCCCCTGACCTGCTGTACGCCCCCTGCCCGAGCTCGCGTCGCCTCCAGCCGCAGCCACACGGGTCCGCTCAGCGGCCGCAGCTGCGCCGCTCCGTGCAGGCGGCTGTGGTCGGGCAGCTCCAGGGGGTGGCGGGCGTTGGCGGAGGCGGGGTCGGAGTCGGCGACATGGCTGTGCCGTACTTCCTCCAGCCAGGCGCCGTCAGCTCCGGTGCCGCCCACGATGAGGTAGTCGGTGCGGCTGAGCGGCAGCAGGCGGCCGCCTGGTAGGAGAGGTGTAGGGGGGGGATGACGAATACCCATGCGTTAATATGAATACTGGGGGAGGAAGAAGAACGGGTGGCTTTCTTTTGCTGGTTGCAGTAGGGAATCAGGTGCGCTGGCAATCCTGGGATCCATTCATTTCGCTCGGCAGTCGGGATGCATGAGTGGCATGTGATGGACCCGCACTCCACTCCAGCAGCTCCAAATCCCACTTCCCACTCACCCTGCACGGCCACATCGCAGCTGACAGCACTCTCGATGGCAACTTTGGAAGGGGTCGCACCGCATGCTAAGTCGTGCAGCCATGCGGAGTACCGTTTTCCCTCAGCCTCGTCCTGGATTACTGAAGGGTTGTCCGGGGGCTGCTGCTTGCCTCGGTCACCGCAGTTGGCGCTCTGTTCACCGGCAGCGACTGCTCGGGTTGCCATGGTCATAGTGGATTCGAGGAGAAACATGACAAACGAGAGCAGTCAGACAGGAAGCCTTTACGAAGCGTCAACATATACTTTCAACTTGCCTCATATGTCATATATCCTCACCTATGCAGCGACGTAGTAAATCCTTCGCATGATGTGAGAGTCCATCCCACACAATATCTACTGCAAGTACTGCTAGCGCAGAACGTGCATGATATTCCACGTATTGTGCCATAGCATGTGAAGGCTGTCGAGCGAGGAAAGAAGCCTTCGGGCTACACGTAGCCCAAGTTAGTGAGCCTATGGCCAAATTAACTTCACCTTATACCTTATTATGAATATTGATGCGCAATATACATAAAACCACACTGATACAGCTAGGTTGCAGACCTTGAAAGAAATTAGTAATTTTGGCGGTAGCCTCGCAGGGCAACGACAGCTTGGTCACGACTGCAATAAGCCGTAGTAAGCAATTAATTAAGTCACCTTGTAGGAAGTGCCTTTCCATCTCGCTGCCCTATTGGCGTGACAGACAGGCGTCTTCGACTATCCGGCTAACTTCGTTAGTACGGCTAACTGTCGTCGTCGGCTCCGGCAAAGGAGCAATATGCTTGCCGGCCAATATGAGGCCTCTGCTACCTTGACAGATGGCGCGCCCATTTCAAAGGCCCCTTTCGGCAATCGATTCACACAGCGTCCTAAGCTTCGTCCTCCTCTACCCAGCGTGTAGCATGCGCTTACACAGACCCATGGCCTCGATTACACTTGCAGTTTTCCGCATGTACGGTACATTGTGTCCGTACGATCCACGGGACCAAGGGCATTAGGAGAGGCGAAATTAGCCCATGTCAGGGCCTCTCACAGGCTGCGCCTGGCCTAGATGGTTACCACAACCGGTGGCCATTCGGGTTTGACACACAGCTCTAAGAAAGCTAGCGAAAGCCTCGAGGACGAAACTTACGGAATCCAGCACTGTATTTACGTTTACACAATCTATCGCAAGGCCATGTTGACCACATTACGAGGGGTAGGAGGACTATGTAGTAGTACGGTGCACCGGGGTAATAAATGCAAGCTTGGCTCCAAGGGCTCTAAGAGGGCGAAATGTCGCGCTTTCAAATGCATCCTGAAAGCCCACGGTTACCGTATCTCATATGTCAGGGTCGCCATCAGGATTTGCCGGGGCAGGACCCCTAGCCTACGGTAAACACATAACCCCCCGCAGATCACATGTACCGGTATCTGTACAAACCACCCCGCACACGCACTGTCCAGGCCCTACTCTCCGGCGCAGACTTGTCCGCAGTAGCCAGAACTCGGTATCATCTTTCGGCACGGCCACCACCGCCGTCCGATCCCCGCTTTATCCGGCCTGCCGGAGCACTCATGACCCGTGCCGCGGGCCGAGTCAGGGGCGCCGGAGCCGCCTGCGCCGCCACCGCTACTGCAGCAGCAGCGGGTGCCGCAGCGCCCTGCCCTGCATCCACCGCCACCCCCTCCCTGCCCCTGCCTGCCATGTAGGCTGCGGCCCGGGCCAGCGCCGCCTCGCGCGCGGAGAGCCCCGCTGTGGAGGGACCTCCCGGGGAGCCCAGATCCAGCTGCCTGCGGGCGCGAGGTACCGGCACGCCGAGCGGCCCTTGGGTCATGGTCGGCGGTCCACCCAGACCTGGAGCCTGCCGGCCCTCGGCTGCTGCGGTGATGATGGCTTGCCTTCCGGCGGCCGCCAGCTCGGCCGCTGAGGGTGCTGGCCGAGGTGGGAGGGGAGCCGCCGCCGCAGCAGCTGCTACAGCGGCCGCTGCTGCTGCTGCTGCCGTGTTGGCCCGGTGGTTGGCGTCCGCCTCAGCGGCGCGGTGGGCGACCAGGCCTGCCATGTAGCTATGCTGCTGCTGGTGCGTGACAGGGCGGTCAAAGGAGAACGACACAGCGGGGTCATGACCGCCTGGCTGCTGCCCTCGCTGCCCCGAAGCCTCCGCTCTATCGTGTGGGGCAACACCCGGCCCTGCCGCTTGCCGCCCTGCTGGGGCGCCTGCGCGACCGCCTCCCGAGCCGCGTGCTGCCGTACCGCCGCCTCTTGCCCCACCACCGCCACCGGCGCCGCCCCGTGCCGCCGATGCCGGCCTGTCCCACTCCCCGCCTCCTCCTCCGCTGCTTCTCCGCCCGCCCCCGACCACTAGGTAGCGCTGCGCCAGCTCGTCCTGCCGCTGCTGTTGCTGCACCGCCCGCTCCGCAGCCGCCTGCGTGTCCCCAGCCGCCGCAGCCGCCGCAACTGCCCGGCGGTCGCCTAGCCGCTGCCGCTCCGCTGACGCCGGTCTGGTGCCCCGCTGCGGCTGTGGAGGAGGAGGAGGCTGCCCGCCCAGCTGCTGCTGGTAGGACCTGGCAGGCGGGTAGCCGGTGTGGGCGGTGCTCGCTTGCGGGGCCGAAGGGCGCGGTGGGGGTGGCGGTGGGGCTCCGGTACTGCCGGCAGCTGGGGCGACAGCCAGACCCCGCTGCCCTGACATGCGGCTGTCATCCAGCCGGCCTCGGCCGCCCGGAGGGGCCTCCTGGGAGTCCCTGAGGCATCGCGAACAGGGGGCGAGGACGGGCGAGAGGGGTAAAGGCGCAGGCATGCAATCTACGTACAGGTGGAGGACTGACAAGGAGCTCCGCTGCGGGGATGTCGTGCACTCACAAAAACAACGTGCTGCGTGTGCATCAAACTGTCACCTGACAGGCTGGACCGTGCCGAGAACCCTTAGAAGTCCATCCACCCATATGGTTCGTGCCCTACCTGAACCGCGTGTCCTCCCGGAAGGTGACCCTGCGCCGCCCCGGGGACAGGCCGGGCCCCATGGTGGCTGCCAAGGGGTCGGCCATGTACGACACGTAGGCGGCGTCGCGCTCGCGTGCGGGCCGAGGCCGGGCCACCACCTGTGGGCAGGGTGAGAAGGGGAGGAGGGTTGTCGAGGAAGTGGTGGCGGTGAAGGGGATGAAAGGACAGTGGGGTATACAACCATGAAAGGCCCGCGGCATGCGGGTAGGCTATTCCCGTACGTCCACAGACGTTACCCCGTGTGGTGCGATAAGAATCGCCCAGCCCCTTGCCAGGAGAACACACTCACGGTTCCCAGCGGGTTGGGAAATGGCTTGTTATCCATGTAGTTGCCAGGGCCGGGCACCTCATCGGGCTGCCGCAGGGCAGGGCGGGGTCGCAACGTGTAGGCGGGGCCGGTGCGCAGGTCACGAGGGTCGTCGTAATCGCCTGCATGACACGTGGTGGAGCCAAAGAAAGGTGCTGTGGTTAGTGTGCATGAAACCCCAAGCCGTCAGCGGCGTATTGGTGTCGCGGCCGCAGCAAGGATGAGTAGACTAGCACCAGCCACTTCCTCCCCCACCGCCCCACCTGGTCCGGTTTCCGGCTTGTAGGGCGCGAAGCCCTTGCTGCGGCCCCCCATGCTCCAGGCGGGGCCTCCGGGCGGCGGCGGGTTGTAGTACTGCCCGGGGTCGGGCGGCAGCTGACTGCGCCTCCGCCTCCTCCTGAAAAAATAAGGTGCAGCGGAGAAGGCGAGTTAGACACAGTGGCCATTATCATAGCTCAGACGTACTGTGAGATCCTTTAAATATCAAGAAACTAGGCATCAGCCCGCCCTAGTCACCTGCTCCTAAGCTTGGCCCCCATGGTGAAGGCGGGACCTGACGAGGAGCCAGGGCTGTAGTACTCGCCCGGCCCGGGGCCGTCGCCGCTACCCGGCTCCGGAGCGCGCTGCGACATGGTCCATGCGGGGCCCGAGGGGGACACCCTGTGGGGAGGCGGGGCAGCACGGGGCCTTGGAAAACGGGCGGGATAAGGGGGGCCACGTAAGTTCCGTCATGTATCACACGCAAGGGAGCCTACAAGCAGCCCTCCTTCTCTCCACCCTCTCCCCCGCCACACTGTCGTACCTCCCCGGGCTGCCGTAGTCTCCCGGTGCGGGTGTGGGCTCCGGCTCAGGCAGCCGCACGCGGGGAGCCATGGAGAAGGCGGGACCGCCGGGGCGGCTGGCCGGCACGTAGGCACCTGGGCCCGGCCCCTCCGTGGCTGAGGGGGAGGCGGGTCGCCCGCCCATGGTGTATGCTGGGCCGGCGGGGGCGCCCGGAGAGGCGTACTCCCCAGGGCCAGGCACGGGGCTGCCGGAGGGGGACTGGGTGCGGGTCCGGATGGAGTAGGAGGGGCCGGAGCGGCCCAAGGGGTCGAGGTCGGGTGCGCCGTAGGAACCGGGGCCGGGCACGGCGTCCGGTGCTGCGTCTGGGTGCCTGGGCAGGGTCAAGGGCTCAAGGCAACCAGCAGGATCTGTTTCAGACGGGTGGAGGACAGAATGGAAGACGGCACGGCTCTGGGTGAATGGCAGGCAAACTCCATGTCCTTTGACAAGCATGGGCCCCCTCCCAGCCCTGCATCTCCCCCTTTGCCTTGTGTCGCAACCCCAGCACCACCACCTGCCCCTCTCACCTGCCCTTGATGGAGAAGGCGGGGCCGCTGGGTCCCTGCTTGTAGGGGTAGTCCGCGGGCCCGGGTGAGGGCGGCCGCTCGGGCGAGGCGGGGCGGCCGGTCAGGGTGAAGGAGGGGCCGCGGGGGGATTGCGGCTGGGGGTAGTGGCCGGGGCCGGGGCTCACCTGCGGACAGACATGGAGTGCGTGGAGTGGGAAGCCCCAAAGGGCAATGCACTTGCATTCTGGAGATAGGTCAAGGCACTCGCGTCTACAAATCAACGCATGCATGCAGACCTACATCTGGGCTGCGCTCCCCGTGCCTGGCCCCCAGGCTGTACGCCGGACCGCGGGGCGAGGCGGGCAAGTCGTAGGACCCCGGTGCGGGCAGCCTGTCGTCCCGTGGGTCGGCGGGGCGCCCCGCCATGGTCCAGGCAGGGCCGCGGTCGTCGTCGCCGGGCACGCGGTACTCGCCCGGCCCTGGAATGTGGTGGGGTCATGAAGGGCGCGAACAAGCAGGCGCGGATTCACAGCGAACGTGAATGACACACAGGATGTCTAGGCAACTGCAGGTGTGGGAGGCGCCTTAAGTAATAATTGTAGCTGCATGCCACCCGGCCCCAGGTGCCAGGTCCATGCAGCTACAACATGTGCCTGCCAAGTGTCAACCCTGCAGCCCAACCCGCGTCCTCCGGCCCACCTACCTGGCGAGGAGGGCCGCTGCAGCTCCTTGGGCCTGCCTCCCAGTGTGAAGGCCGGGGCGCCGGGCAGGGGCTTCTGCGGGTCGTAGGCACCTGCGAGGAGGCATGGTGCAGTGGAGAAGAGGCGCTTGGATGGAGGGAGGAGGCCAGGGCACATCACCACGCAACTGGAGCATCGCTACCCAACACCCCGTCACCCTGCCAAACCCCTTTGCGCAAGTCCACCTCCCCCACCCCACCTCCTCCCTCTTTACCCCGCGTCCCCACCCCCACCTGGTCCCACGAGGGTGAGCTCCGGTTGCGCCTCCGCCGGCTTGCCGCCGATGGAGAAGGCGGGTCCCCTGCGACCGGGAGACTGCGTGTACTCGCCTGGGGTAAGGAAGAGGGGACAGCAAGGGAAGCGTGAGGTGCTCTGATTGCGGGCCTCACGACCGACGCATGCCGGCGTAACACAAAGGGGAGCAAACCGTGCATGCACCGCGTCCTGTGCAGCGCAGATCCCTACCTGGACCCGGTGAGGATGGTGGCGACCTCTCCTGCGGCCGGCCGCCCATGGTGTAGGCGGGGCCGGCGGGCGGCGGGGCAGCCACCTCGTACTCGCCAGGACCAGGGCCGGTGGGTGAGGCGGGCTCGGTGCCGGGTGAGGCGGGGCGGCCGGCCATGGTGAAGGCTGGACCACGGGGCGGCACGCGGTCCAGGTACTGGCCGGGGCCTGGGTGGGACGGGGGTGAAGGGGGGCTAAAAGTTACATAACAAATGCAGATGCGCCAACCCCTATACCGGTAGCCACCCCTGCACCCCTGCTATGTGTCCGCACCCTACGCCACTTATCCCCAAACTCACCAGGCGAGTCGGGTCTCCGCTGCTCCGCCGGGCGCCCAGCCATGCTGTACGCTGGCCCCGCCGGCCGCATGCTCGTCACCTCCCCCTCGTACTCCCCGGGTGCGGGCAGGTCGGCCCGCGGGTCGCGCTCCTGCGGCCGGGTGCCCATGGTGAAGGCGGGGCCGGGCGCCAGAGTGGGGTCGGAGGGGCGGTAGGCGCCCGGGCCCGGGGAGTCGGGGATGTCTGCAAGCAGGCGAGGAGGGGGGGGGGGTCGCTGGTAGGGCGTGGGTGCGCAAGGCCCGTGCTTGGGTAAGGGCAACAGTTTTGAGGCAAGGATGCTGTTATGAGAGCGTTAACTCAGGCCCACAACATCCTCACTGTCACTGTCCTGTGTCATCCTTCCCCAGCTCACCCTTCTCCGCCGGTCTGCCTCCCATGCTGAAGGCGGGCCCCTGACCGGGCCCCAGCGCTGCCTCGGGCCGGTAGGCGCCCGGGCCGGGGCTGGCGGGCGGGGAGCGCTCAGGGGGCCGGGCGCCGAAAGTGTATGCGGGGCCGGAGGGTGAGCCGCCGCCGCCGCAGTCCGTGAGGTAGGCCCCGGGGCCGGGCAGGTCTGCGGCATCGCGTTGAGTCGGGCCGGGACTGGTGGGACGGCCGGAGATGGAGAAGGCGGGGCCGCCAGGGGAGGTAGGTCTGGGGGAGGGCGGAGGGAGGGAAACTGGAGTTAATAAGAATTGGGAGCACAGCGCTGAGCGTCGGGTATGTCGTGCACCTGGCGGTCACGTCGCCTCCGCTATCGACATACGAGCAGCGGCCCATCACTACTCTGCCCTCACCTGTAGTAGGCTCCGGGCCCGGGCGCCTCCTCCCCAGGCGCTTCTTGCGGCCGACCACCGAAGGAGAAGGCGGGCAGCCCCTCCCCGGGCCGCGGGGGGACGTGGTAGTGGCCGGGGCCAGGGGCAGGCTCAGGCTCGCGGAGCGGGGCTGGCCGACCAGCAATGGTAACGGCAGGGCCTGCGGTCGAATTTGGGCGGCGTACTTAGTCGGAAAGTATAGGGCTGTCAGCTAGCTCTGCCGCCCGCAAGTACCATGGTACGTACGCCACACGGCCCTGCACCGGTCCTTCCATCACCCCGTGCACCCACCGGTTCTCCACAGGGCGGGCAGGTCGTACTCGCCGGGCGCAGGCACGTCGGTGTCTGGCTTTATGTCCAGCCTGCGAAAGGGATGCCGTGTAACTTACCACTCCGCCCAACTCTGGTCAGCCTACTATACACACTTCAAGAAATTGAGGCACTACTAGCGGTACGCAGCCCAGCTTCCCAAGGGGCACAGCACTGGACCCCCACCCCCTCTGCTAGGCCCCCATGCCCACCTGCCAGCGATGGTGAAGGCGGGTCCGTCCCTGCCCGGGGAGGCCTGCAGCGGCTGCTGGTAGTCGGTGGGGCCAGGGGTGGGCTCGGGGGCGCGAGGGCGGGGCCGGCCAGCGATGGTGATGGCGGGGCCTGCGCGGCGGCAAGGGTACGAACGCGAGCGGAAGGCAAAGCCCGCATGAAACACCCCGTTAATGTTTACATGCTCGTCAGTTACGGCAATGCCCTCGGCGCCTATCTGTCCCCAAGGCCCCACACCTGTGGCGACGGGGCGCTCGATGCGGTAGGCCCCGGGTCCCGGGGCGTCTGTCTCAAACTTGCGCTTGGTCTTGGCGCCCAATGTGAAGGCGGGGCCATCGCGGCTCCTGGGGCGGAAAGGGATGTAACACAAGGCGCAAGGTAGGCATGCAGCATGTAGGGAGGGAGGTTGCATGCAGCCATGCGGCTGATCCTAAGCCCCCCTCCCTTCCTCGCTCCTCCCTCCCTGCCCACCCCTCCCTCACGTCTTGTCCTCCACATGGTACTGTCCGGGCCCCGGCAGGTCGTCCGGCAGGGCACTAGGCGGGCGGGGCCGGCCCTTGATGGTGAAGGCGGGGCCCTCGCACACGGGGCGGGGCACGTCGTAGGCGCCAGGACCTGAGGGCACAGGGGAGGGTGCGGGAGAATCACATAGAAGCAACAGCGATGCTGCATGATACCTCACCCTATCCCTCTCCAGCTTCCCCTTTTCATCTGTCCTGAAACTCCTTGCCTTCGGAAATCCCCTGGCCTCCTACCAGGTATGAGCGCTGCGTCCGGCTTGGCCAGCACCGCCGCCGCCGGCGCAGTGCGGCCGCCCATGGTGAAGGCGGGTCCGCTGCGACCCACCGCCCCCAGCTTTGCCACGTCGTACTGCCCCGGACCCGGCGTGTCATCATCCGTCTCGCTGCCCGAGAAGTCTGCTCCTAGGGAGCCGAGGGCGGCCGAGGAGGTCAGGGCGGCGGAGCAGGCAGCGCAGCGGCAATCATGCGGGTGGCCGCGAGGCCGGCGGCGAGCCCTCCGCATGTCCGCCACGTCCTGCCGCTCCCGCACCAACATCCCCTGGGACTCCCTGGAACCACCAGGGAAGCTCCATGCAACCCCCTGCTGCTGTGGAAGCACGGGCGGCCCCACCGCTGCCCACGCCTGCGGGTAGAGTGCGCCCCACTCGCGCAGCACCAGCCCGGTTGCCTTGGTTACGCGTCCGCCATGCGACATCACCACAGGCGCTCGGCTGATCGTGGCGCCAGTAGGCAATGGCTGGGACTGCTGCAGCCAGGACTGCGATGTGGACGTGAAGGCTGCTGAGCCGCCAGGAGCCATGACATGAAGAGGTGGAGGTGGAGGGGGGACGTTCTGGCAGTTGCTGTGGCTGCGGGCCAGCCTCTGGGCTGAGGTGGAGGTAGCAGCAGTGGCTGCAACAACCGGAGGCTGCATGCTGCTGTCAAGAGGGGCGCCATGGCGTAAGACGCGGGCGCGTACAACAGGGGCGCGCTTTGGATCGCGCAGGTGCTGTGCGGCAGTCGCAGCTGCAGGATCCAAGTATGCAAGGCTTCGGAGCTGCAGCTCTGGTTGGCGTCCCAGGGTAGGGAGGGAGGAAGCTCGGAGTTAATGCCAGAGAAAAACGCAAGTTTGGTGCCGCCATACAAGCACGAGGCCTGACCAGAAAAGGCTGACGGGGTGGTTGCAACACACGGCACAACAAGGTCGCCCCGGGAGGATGGGTCGGTAGGCAGAGATGAGCAGCGTCTGAGTTCCCCTATTACCTGTTTTAACCGCAAACCCCCATCTAGCAAAGTAGAGCTATCGATTTTAGTTTATGCCTTAGGCACTGCCGGGGCGCATACCTGTCAGTTGCGATGAGGGCTTCCGGCTGAACCGCAGGTCCGAACCGAACCTTCAGACAAGGAGATTGTCTATTTCGTAAGTTTACAGCTTTATTGGGCTCTTGGAAGCTAAGGCAACACCTACTTGAACGGTTCCCCAAACGTTGGAGCTTGCGCTTGCGCAACCCAACCTGCAGCCAGCAAGGGCTTGTGATTGCGTCTCCACTAGAAAGATTGCCGCCTAAGCTGTTCCACGCGATGGTTAAGAAGCTTACTGTCAACAGTGCGGTCACCGCTGGCGCCAATAAAGCTATTCCTTGGCATGTCTCGCCAGCAGTCAGTTCCGCCTAAAGCAAACTATGCTTGCAAGGTCCGAGCCTTATGGGCTCCATCTTATGATTTCAGTAACATACGTTCGGGTATGGTCTGCTAGCACGCTCAGCTGTCGGTGTCTGGCTTGATACGGCATTTTAACAGCTGACTACATTGTCACTTTTACACACACGAAAAGAGCTAATAAACAATGGCTTACACATTATTCCTATGTTGCGCATGGGTGGCAGCTAGATAGAAATCCTAGCGAAGTACGATTTCTGCGCCAAGCCCTTCTTATAATTAGGAATGGCTGCAACTGCTGGCGCGCTTATCGCAGCTCCAACGGGCGCTGCTATTGAGTTGGCTGTCGTCAGCCATGTAAGCCTATGTCCCTCTCCCACCAACATCCATCCAGCTGCCCAGCCCCCTAAGGACGACTTCCCCTTAAACATCCTCTACTTAAACTGTCGTGTATAGCAAAGGAACTGCGTACCTGGAAATTATGTGCTTGTAATGCAGAACGTTGGCCTGCTTGCGCCATGACAATCCCCATCTCACATCCGCGCAGGTTAACGGCTAAAAAGGATACCATTGGGTCGGTGTCCTTGGTAAGAGCAATTCCTTTTAATTAGCCCCTCCGTGACCATCTCCTACCCAACCCATACGGCATTGCCCTATCGTCCCAACCTCCGCCGTCCCAGACGTGGATCCGCTAAATGGCAGCCCGGCCCACTCCCGCCGCGAGGTGGCTGCCTGGAGCAGCTGCTGGGGGGTGCGGCCGCCATCGGGCCCCTGTGCGCGCGCCTGCGGGGCTCACCCTCCGTGCAGCACTTCCTGGAGGACCTGCAAGTGGGTCCCTGGATAAGGGAGGATGGGGGCGGACCTCCCTGGGTTGGCAGATAGGTGTTGTGTGAGGGGGTGAGGAGGGCGGTGCGAGGAGGCCGAGGTACGCGGAGGGTTAAGGCCCGGGGCTGATCCACACATGCGCTGCCTGCCACCCTGCCCTGCTAGGTCCATGCGACTGTTCCTCGTCCCCCATCCCCGCGGAGCAGGAGGTAATAGAGCGGCTGGCGTACGGCAGCTCCGCGGGTCCAGGGCCGGGCAGCTGCAGGTGAGCAGCCCCCGCCTCCCTGCTGCTGCTGGGGGGATGAGGCCTGGCAGGGCGGACAGGGCGTAAATGGCTGGCATGGTGCGCACTAGCGTACGTGCGGCGCATGACCCTTGGTGCCTTCCTTGCCGTACGGATCAACCCACCACCGCCAAGCTGCCCTACCCCGCTTTAGCCGTGCCCCGCCGCCGGGCCCCGCCTCAGCGGCGGCCGCTACGGCGCCCCCCTCTCCTCCCCCTCCTGCTCCTCGCATGCGGTCATGCGGTCGCTGCTGGCGGACTTGGACCGGCTGGGCTGGGGCTGCCTGGAGGAGCTAGACCAGGTGGGGAGGGAGGGAAGGGGGAGGAGGAGGGAAGAACGTGGAGGATTACCGGTAGGTCGAGAAGTAGGTGCACGGATATTTGGCGGCGATGGGAGAGGATGGCCGCGACCAGGAAAGGTGTTCTGGTGGGCCTGGGATGCTGTGAGGTGAAGATGGGCCGGGGGCGAGTGGGACCTCTTCGCCATGTCCGCTGCACACCTCCTCCCCTCCCCCTTCCCCGAACACGCAGGACGCCGCCCGCCTGACGCTGCTGCACCGCGACATGCGGGGCTGGGAGCACCACCTGCGCCTCACCCTGCCGCCCGACTACCCCGCCTCGCCGCCCGCAGCAGCCACCGACCTGCCCACACCCCTGGAGTTCAGGTGGCTGCCGCAGCAGGCGCCGCTGCAGCAACATGCAGCGCAGTGGAGGGCGGGACCGGCTGGCGGTGTTGGAGGCGGAGGAGGTGGAGCGGGTGAAGGAGCGGGCGTGTGCAGCAGCATAGCGCATGTGTTTGAGGAGTTCAAGCAGGTGAGGAGCGCGCAAGAACAGCACAGGATTCCGCCATGCACCCGCCCCTACTCCCCCAAAACCGTCTAACGCATCCGCAGTCCCACCTGTTCCTCCTCCCTTCATCTTCGTCCATGCCCCTTCTTGGATACACGCCCTGCCCCGCCTCTTTCCCTCCTCTCACGCCCCGTCCCTCCGGATCTCCTCCCTCCCCCGGGTGCGTCAACCCCAACAACTCACCCTGCATCCCCTCCCTCTTCCCCTACCTAACCACTTGCACCCCCTCCTCCTCCTGGCCCTCAGCTCATCCTCCGCCTGCAGCCCCTCTGGGCCGCCCTGGAGGAGCTCGACCGCCGCACCCGCGTGCTGTCCCCGCCCGCCGCCTGGCGCTAGGGGGGGCCGCCTCGCTGCAGCTGCGGCTGGAGGCGGGCGTGCCGCGGGCGCCGCCGCAGCTGCCGGGCGGTGTCGCGTTCCTGGGCCCGCCGGAGGTCGTGGGGGAGCTGCGGGAGGGCTTCTTCGAGCGGTTGCACTTGTGGAGCGAGGAGAGGTGGGGGTTGGGTACTTGGGTTGGATGCAAGGCATGGGCGGTATGGGAGACGGGGAGTCGGGCGGGGAGTGGGTGGGGAGTGGAAACGCGAGAGAGGCAGGGTGTGGAAGGGAAAGGGGAAGGGTTGCACCGTATACCGGTAGATGGTCCTTTCTGTTTCGCGTCCTCCGCCCGGCAATGCCATGCCTCCTCATGGGCCACCTCCTCCGCCCCCCGCTGCCGCTCAGGGACCTGGTTGACAACCTGGAGCTGCTGTTGGGCCAGCAGCTGCCGCCGCCCTCACCGCTACACCACCAGGAGCAGCAGCACCCCACCACGGGAGCGTATGGCTCATGCGATGCTGCTGAAGGCGAGCCGCTGCAGGCTGAGTGCCCCATCTGCATGATGCACCTGCTGCCGTTGCCGGATGACGATTGGGGTGAGGATGGGGGGGAAGAGGACGCGGCAGGGCAGAGTGGGGATGTCGGAGCGATGGCGGCGGGGGGCGGCTGCAGCGGGCTGATTCCGGACGTGGTGTGCCCCACCCCGCAGTGCGCCCTGGCCTTCCACTCACCCTGCCTGGCGGAGGGGCTGCGCTCGCTGCCCGACACGCGCGTGTCGTTCAGCCGCCTGTTCGGCAGGTGCCCCTTCTGCAGCAACCCTATCACCGGACGGGCCTAGACTGGGCGAGTTTCTTTGGATGAGGGTGACTTGGCGGCCTGCGCATGTTTCTTTATTCTTGTCACATCCTTTTCCATTAATGTGAGGCCGGGAGGATTGGATAGGGTTGTGGCCTTGCGGGCCGTGGACAGCAAGGTACGTCAGTAGCTGGACTGGTAAGCATTGTCGCTGAGGGCATGCGTCGGGCAAAGCCCCTAGCGTGCACGCATGGGATAGGCGGCAGCAGGATGGGGCCGACGGGCCACGAGGGGAAGGAGATGCAGCAGAAGCAGTACATGATCTCAGGAATGACGGTTGGAGCATGGCAGTGTTTATGATGTACGATGTACGACAGCTGGAAATCCTCACCGCTGTCTACGGCAACCGCACTGGATGTTTGCTGGTGACAGTGGCATGCGTCTGTTTGGCTCAAGGTGGTAGCCCTGCCGGGACTGTAGCCTAGACCATCGGCGTGCAACACAAACAAGCAAACGGGGATACCCGAACCAGAAATCAACAACCGGGGATCCGATAACCCAGTGACGTACGTGAATCCCAAACACGGTACGAGTGTTGACGGCCGCTTTGCAGTGTGGCCCCGCCGGTGTGTTTTGAGAGACAGATTTTTTCGAGGGCTCGGATTGCGTGTTTTTGCCATGGAGCCGGTGCCCGTCACATGCCACGCTGTCAAGTACCTTGACCCATATGACGGCTGATAATGGATGGCGCTGGATGGATGGGGGGGATGGGAATGCATGACGGGGTGATGTATGTATCGGCTTGTAGTACGGGTGGATGTGGATTGGACCCTGTACTGGGCGGAGTGTTGGGAGGTTTGGGACAGGGTTCCTTTCTGCTGTAGCTTAGGATGACACGCACCCGACTCTTGACTCCGATTCCTGTTAAGGCGCGGTATGGAAGGAGTCTGAGAAGAGAGGTGGGTGGTGATGCTGCAGGAATCGCAGTGAGGGTGAACAATGCGAGTCGCGGCCTAGCAGCTGCCGCCTTAAGGACGCCGGTTTGATTCAGACCGCAATGCGCCGACCTGTGGGACAGACTACAGGCGCTGACGAATGGAAAGCAAACAAGGCCAGCCCGTCCCGGAGGCTCGTCCTGCATACATTCACTATTTCCTGATGGTGTGCGTCTCAGCACGGCATTTCAGATCTCAAGCTTCGTGTGTCAAGGTAAATAGAGAAGGCAAGTCAGCTCTGCTGGAAAAAGCTGTCCCTGCCAGCTTGCACGCTGCCGGAACCCCTGTTTGCCGTACCTAGCTGGCAATGCTTGTTGGGCGCAACCTACAGCAATGAGCAAAATTACTAATGTTAGTCACAATTGTACAGGTTTTGATCTGCACATTTACAAAAGCAACACCTTTCCGAGCGCGATATAGCTGTTTGCGGCTGATTGAGGCTGCTTTTGCCGACTGCTGGCATGGCAGCTGTACTGGTATATACCCAGAGGAGAATGGCGCATATAGGAAACAAGCGGTTAGGAGCGCGCGCAGCAGTCCACTCGCTCCTCAGAGCTGGGCGCTGCAGCTAGGGCAGGCGACCCGTGGTTCCGCAGGGGGCGCCCAGGCAGCAGCAAAGAGGACAGCTGGAGCCAGCAAGCACTGCAGCATGTCATGCGAGGTTCTGCGGGGGTGGGCTGGGGCCTGGGGGGCTTATGGCTCATGGCTTAGGAAAAGGTGTTGGGCAAGAGGGCGTCAGCAGTGTGCCTGGTTTACACCTCCTGGATTGGTGGGGCTGGGACGATTCAAAGTTGTGGGAGGGGATGTGACACGAGAAAGCAAGTAAGCGTTCAGCGTGACAGGGGCAGGAAGGAAGTGGGCTTGGAGCGGTGTGGGTTGTTCCTGGACTCCGCACCCCTGCCGTGTTCCTGTATCACCGGCCTGACATGCCTTGGCCTACTTGCTTTCGTCTTGCGCATACTTCGTCTCCTGTGCCTCTCCGCTCCCCACTCCTCCTCCCGTCCCTCGCCCCTCTTTGAACGCACCGGGCCCTCGTGAGCTGTGAGGATGGTTATGGGGGTAAGAGAAATCTGCAGAAGAAGATAAGGTCAGGGTGGGGTTGGAGGTGGAGTGGGAATAGAAAACGCATCATGCTGTGCCCATGTGCGCTCGGAGCGTTTAGGCTTGTGGCAACCATGGCTGTATTGCGATCACGGTGGTGCGTTGGAGTTCCGTCACGTGCCTTCTCGAAAGATGAAGAATTTGCATGCCGTCCTATAGGAAGGCCAACCCGTTGGTTTCCGTTTGCCGATGTGAGTAAGAGGCAATGGATCCGACGTTCGCTCATATAACCCATTCAGTGGTCAGCCAACCCTGTAGGACACGAGCTTCATGTTAAGTGCCATAGCAATGCCCAGGGCGGACCTGTCGATGCCCAGTATCGCACATGGACAATTCCTGCAGGCAGGAGTAAATCACAGTCCCCGATTTCTGGCCGCTTTTTAGCATACAGTGTTATTGTAATACGTGCAGTTCTGCATGATGCCTTTCTTAGGCTTGAAGATGTTCATGCAAAAGGCCGAAGCGATAGTTGCTAAGCTCGACGCCCGTTTCAATTGCATGCGTTGTTGTTTCGCTAGGGACGAACCAAACGTTGCGTTGCTTGACTACCATTTAATGTAAATGACTTGCAAGCGTTGTCGATCATCCCAGCAAGACCGCAATCGCGACTTGTCATCCCAGATTCCCCGTGCGACCCCTGATTGCTCTAGTACAAACACATGTAAGGTGCTATCTTGCTTGTTGTTCTGTCACAATCCCCATGACGCTACTGCTGCTTCCGCCGTACGCATTTTTACATGCTTTCTGTAAAAGGTACCGAACTGCTTTTGCGCGTTCCTCTTATTCCTTACTTACTATTAAACAACATCATCATGCAGATAGTATTGATGGACTCTGCCGTCCTTTGGACAGGTGCCCTGGTTGCTGGCAACCACGTCGCTACCGGTACGGGCGACATATAAAGGAGTGAATATGCAAGATGTGCTGCAACCTTCTGCTGCATGTTGGTATTGCGTGATCTTCGCTTTTCATTGCTTCCATGGCGGTCAAGAAACCATGTCGCGCGCTCCATGCCTTGCAGGTTTATACCGGCTTCTTATCATTGTATTATCAGCTTCCTTGTGCTGATGACCATGCCAAAAGGTGAGCGTTCCTAGGTAGGATCGACGGTTCCTACCTCTTACCTGTTGCTCGGTCCAGCTGCGCCTGGAAGAGCACATAGCGCCGCTAGCAAGCGTTGCCTTGTGTCTGTGAAATATAAAGGATAAGCATTTCGGGTTATCAGAGAGGATTGTCATGGTACCGGTAGTGCGGACGTTAACTAATGGATGTCGTTGTTGTTACATTTGCGCCCCTTTCCTGCTTTGATGTGGCCACCCGCAAGACACATTCCCGCATTTCCGCCCCTTTCCTTCGCCGCTCCCGCCTGGCGTGCCGACTTCTTCGTCGCAGCCGCCCAGCCTGGCACCGCCATCCCCTGCACTGCTCCCGCCTGGCGTGCCGCCTCCAACCAAGAACATAAGACGGCCCCACCTCGATCTCCGCATGAGCCTCCGATCCTGGCTGGCTCCTGTCGATTTGTCCGAGCGTATGGTCGGCATCAGACCCTTGTGGCGAACGTCAGCAGTACCGGAGTCACAACGAACGGTACGGCCTGCTGCTGCTGTAGGATAACTCGATAGATATAGTTCCCTTTCCTCTCACGATGGTGCTGACCCAAGTCATTTTCTTTGCTTTCTGTGCAGGCGCGACGCAAGATGTGCGACGGCGAGCATGTTCCAAGGGCAATACCGGTAAGTTGGGGTTGGCTGCATAGAAGTGAGATTAGTTGTCGTCCCCCCCTCCCGAGAGTTGGATGACGCTTGGCCGAGATACCTCAGCGGCAGCCAGTGCCACCCAGTCAGCGGCAGCCAGTGCCACCCAGTCAGCCCAGCCGTCAGCAGTTCCAGCAGCCAGATCAGCAGCAGCAGCAGTTTCAGCAGCAGTAGTAGCAGTACATAGATCAGCCCAGCAGCAGTAGGGGCAGCTGAGTCGACAGCTTTCTTTCCGGGGGACGCACGTGTCTTGCTTTACTTCCTTTTCCGTGCTGGTGCTTCCTTACGTGTACTTCGTTTTACGTGTAGCATAGTCACTCCCATTCCTTTCCCGCTCCTTCCTATGCATGTACCTCTTTACGAGACGCGGGGAGCGTGGCCATGTCGCCGCAGCCGCCCAGCCCGACTCCGCCATCTCGCCTACCCTGCTCCTGCCTGGCGTGCCGCCGGCTTCGTCGCAGCCGCCCAGCCCCTCACCTCCATCTCGCCTTCCCCGCTCCTGCCTGGCGTGCCGTCTCCTTCGCCGGAGCCCCCCAGCCCTGCACCGTCACCACCGCCAACGTCCAAGGCTCCTACGCGGCGAGGGCTTTCGCAACGCGCGCATCCTAAGGCAAGTTGGAAACCGATAGACGACGGTTAAGCTTTGCTCAAGCAGCCGGCCTAGTGGGCATGCCGCATGCATCGCCTGGCCACCGCTGCATGTGGCGTGTCTGCTAGGCCGGCTGTGTGGGCAAAGCATGTTGCTCTGAGGGCCCGTTGCATGGGGCTGGAGTGTCTCCGGTTAGCACGCTGCCTGCTTCAAAACTTGTATTGCTATAGTGTGCCATCCGTTCTCTCATCGCCACCAACCCATTCCCTTCCCCGCCCTCCTGGCCCCCACCTCGGTTTGACCTCCGCATGTGCCTCCGACTTCCTTACTTGTCGCATTGTCTAACCCAACGCTCTCAATGCCTCTATCTCCCACTCCCTTGTTCGCATGTACCTCTTGGCGAGACGCGGAGAGCGTGGCCATGTCGTGCTTTCTCCAACGACACCTCAGTGGCGGCCGACAGGAGCGCCTTGCTGCCACCGCTGCAGGCACGTCCAGCCGCCACCGCTGCCATACCACTGCTCTTCACGGAACCGCCCAGCCCGTCACCTTCACCTCTTCCATCGCCGCCGCCGCCATCCGTAATAACGCCTGCTTCGTCGCAGCCGCAATAACCCGGCACCGCCATCTCCTGCACCGCTCCCTCCAGCTGTGCCGCCTCCTTCGCCGGAACCGCCCAGCCCGCCACGTTCACCTCCTCCATCTCCACCGCCGTCAGTAGAAACGCCTTCGCCCTCCCCGCGCCCGCCCAGCCCGCCACGTTCACCTCCTCCATCTCCACCGCCGTCAGTAGTAACGCCTTCGCCCTCCCCCACGCCCGCCCAGCCCGTCACGTTCACCTCTTCCATCGGCGCCACCGCCGTCAGCGACAACACCTTCTTCGTCGCAGCCGCCCAGCCTGACACCGCCATCTCGCCTTCCCCGCTCCCGCCTGGCGTGCCGCCTCCAACCAAGAGCATAAGACGCCTACGCGGCGAGGGCTTTCGCCAAGCGCGCATTCTAAGGCAAGTTGGCAACTAATAGATGACGGTTAAGTTTTGCGTGGGCACGGCATGTTGCTCTGAGGGCCCGTTGCATGGGGCTGGAGTGTCTCCGGTTAGCACGCTGCCTGCTTCTAAACGTGCATTGCTATAGTGTGCCATCCGTTCTCTCATCGCCACCAACCCATTCCCTTCGCCCCCCCTTGGCCCCACCTCGATCTCCGCATGAGCCTCCGATCCTGGCTCGCTCCTGTCGATTTGTCCGAGCGTATCGTCGGCATCAGACCCTTGTGGCGAATGTCAGCAGTACCGGAGTCACAACGAACGGTACGGCCTGCTGCTGACAGTTGCCCTTGACGCCGCTGTAGGATAACTCGATAGATATAGTTCCCTTTCCTCTCACGATGGTGCTGACCCAAGTCAATTTTTTTGCTTTCTGTGCAGGCGCGACGCAAGATGTGCGACGGCGAGCATGTTCCAAGGGCAATACACTCTGTGTACCGGTAAGTTGGGGTTGGCTGCATAGAAGTGAGATTAGTTGTCGTCCCCCCCTCCCGAGAGTTGGATGACGCTTGGCTGCACCCGAGATACCTCAGCGGCAGCCAGTGCCACCCAGTCAGCGGCAGCCAGTGCCACCCAGTCAGCCCAGCCGTCAGCAGTTCCAGCAGCCAGATCAGCAACAGCAGCAGTTTCAG